ATACCATCGCTACCCACAGCCACCACTTCTCTTTCTACATATATATATATAACCCTAGTTGCCGTTAACGCTGCAAACGCATCATTGCCGTGTCATCCCTGCTGCTAGTCGCCATCGTCGGAGCCCAATCTAGTCGCCCTGGTCGTCACCATCGCCGAAGCCCAAGAGAAAAACTTGCAGAAGTTACAAACGATCTAATCTTTTCTCATCTTGACCGATCTCATCAATTGTGAATGTTTCCATCAAAATTTTGAAGCCAAAGGTGGTGGTCGGGTGGCGCAGCAATGGTGAGTGATTCGGTGCGTTTGGGTAGATAGAAGGCGACGAGGGAAGAAAAAATGGGTGGCTGGTATTGATCTCACACAAAGGGCAATTTGGTCTTTAAAGAGTTTTGATATTTTACCATTAAAAGTAATAAACTATTAAAGGACAATTTTGACTTTTCATAACCTTTTAGGGGTTGTTTTGATGCAATTTCTGACGAGGGGTGTCATTGTTAAAAAAAACACTCCAACTTGTATATAACTGTCAATATGACAAACCTCAAGAGGCGTCATTGTAATTAACCCTATTTTAAAAGATAAATTTATATATTTAACTATGTAATATAAAAATAAATAATAATTTGATAAAAACATTATTGTACTTTTGAATTTATGTTATACCTTTAATTTATATGTTAGATAGGCAAAAAAAATGTATGCTAGGTAGGCAAAAGAAATGTTATTTCGATACAAATGAGTTAAATTAAATGTTACTAATAAAAGATGAACTAAAAAGATGGACTAGAGAACTGCATAATATTTATGTGACAAATGCATCAAAAGTATGAAAAAATTTGGAGGTTTTTGAATTTATCTGCTCTGGCATTTAATTTAATTGACTGTTATGCAAGAGTGGGTGGACGATTCATTGCTCAAAATAGACAAGATTGCACATTTTATTTTACAAATTACAACTATTTCTCTTGTATTTATTTATTTCTTTCCTTCTTCTTCTTCTCTTTGTTTGTTTTTACCTTCTCAGGAAATGTCGAATTCTCATTTTAACATCAATCAAGATGATGCAATAACAAAATGCAGGTCTTAATTATTTACTACTTAGTTTCTTTAAATTCTAAGTTCCACCGGTTAGTTTCCAACATATGTTTCTGAAATGCGATGATCTTTTAGCTACATTGAGCAATCCAACTTTAAATACAATTCACAAATTGACTTGAACCATGGTTTACTGTCATATTGTCAGTAGTTCTCTGTAATACGGTTCATTTGAACCATTCCTGCTTCCAACTAGGAAGAAGCTACAACTACATACACAAATATTCACATGCTAAAGACAACTAAGAGACTAAAAATACATCTGACATACACACAAACGTCACCTGCTCAATAGAACCAAGAGACCGAAAATATAATCATTATAAAATTTTATAACTAAAAGAGCAGAGAATAATAATTACATATAGTCAAGTTCCCAAATTTACGTAATTGTAAAAGGGTTTCCAATACATAATTTTTCCACAATATAGCATCACAAAGTTCCACTAAAATAATAATAATAATAATAATAATAAAATAAAAGGAATTCATAGCATTCCTAGAGTAAATTATCGTTTCTCAAAAAAGGAATCCATACCCAACTAAAAGAAAGACTACCCATCATCAATCAACGTCATGTTGAACCATACATCCTACCTGCATCTTGTTAAACTATACATCATTTTCTCCAAAATATTCTTACGCCATGAAACTGGAACACCAAGGAAAAGGATTTGATAGGGGGATCTAATTTGAACGGTGAAAAAAATAAAAAATAAAAATAAATAAATAAATTTCTAATTTGAATGTTTTGGAACCAACCTGCACTAGATTTGAATGAAGCTCACCAGGAATATTAAGCCCTTGCAAGAAATTTAAACACGCCCAAAATGATTGGGCTTAGCCCATTAATATAACAACCACGTTGATTTAAAGGGAGAATGACCCCGATATGAAATTATAAACCGTAATTTTAAGAAAACTGTTATTATAAGTGAAGTCTTGTTCCACATAGGATTCAAATGAGAAGTGAAATGTATATAGATGGGTTGAATTTTAGTCCAAACCCAACAGCTTAAACTTTTGGGGTCAGATCGCGAAACACTCACCCGTTACAGTTAGTATCAGAGTTAGATCCAATCTTTGATCCGATGCCAAGCTAAGTGCCCGGTCCAAAGGTGTTTAGGTGAGCCATCCTGGGTAGGCAAGGTGGTGCAACCGCAACAAAGATGTTGCGAGTTCGAATGAAAAAGAGTGTTATGAAGGAGCCTCGTCCCATATTGGATTTTGATAAAAAAAAAAAAGAAGTTAAATGAGTATATATAAATTGGAGGTTAGCTCCACCTACCAAAGCTTAAGCTTTTGAGTATCAAGACATGAACCTTAATTTTAGAAACTATAATTAAACCTATCTCTAAGAAAATTTGAGATAGGACCTAAGGCGACTAACCCATTTAAAACAATTATATGAACCCATTGATAATGACAATTGTCTATACAAATAGGGGTGGAGCGAATGTAAGCATGAGGGCACGCCCACTTGTCCTTAACTTTTTCTCTCTTTTCTTTTTTACTCTTTAAATTTCTTTATTTTTCTTTAATTTTTTTTATTTTTTATTTTCCCTTCTTGAATCAAACTCTCTCTCTTTTTTTTTTTCATTCAAAGTTTTTTTTTTTCCATTCAAAGTTCTCTCACTTTTTTATTTTATTTTTTTATTTGTCAAGTATTTATTTGTGGATTATTTATCTTTTTTATAGTTCATACTACTTATTGATTGACATGTTATTTTGTAATGATATGTATATTTTTTATTTGTCCTTTAATTTGAACCATCGATATTTTATGTATATTTTTTATTTGTCCCTTAATTTGAACCATCTATATATATATATATATATATATATTTAATACTGCATCCCCTTCAATTGAAATTCTGGCTCAATCCTTGAATACAAAGATAATTTATTATGGTCACAACAGATGGTGACAGACTTAGATATTATGTGAGAGACGGCAAACTTTATATAGTGTGATTTTTCTGTAATTTGAATGGGGTTATTTTAAAATTTTATAGGTATATAATACCGAAAGATAAAAATTTAGAGACATATAATACTACACATAACTATAAACCAACAGTATATAACTCATACTTTTTGTTACATCCTTAATTTCGTAATACATTTTGTTTATGAATGTGTTCTGGTATCAAGCGAGCGAGATTCTTCAACCTTGGATTTTTGTCTCTAAGGTCCTGTTTAATATAAACACAAATAATTCCTGATTTTTATTTTCAATTCTTAAAATTGAGAATAAAAAATAAAAATTATGTTTAATAAAATACTTTCACTTTTTTCCTTTAAAAAAATACTTTCTAATTTTGTATAGAGAATAGAAAGTAAGATCTTTATTTTTTACACTGAAAATTACTTCCTCTGCTGTAACACTGTTTATAAAATAAAATAAAAAAATTCTAACCATCTCCTCCCCAATCTCCTCCACCCACTGCCACCTCCTCCCACCATAGCCCCTGCCACGACCATCTCTCTCCTCTCTCATACACATCATAACCTATCAACAATATACCCAAATGAACTTCAACCAGTCACACAAAAAAAAAAAAAAAAAGGAGCTCTCTTCCACCATAACCGTCGACTAATCGGAAAACCCCAGAACCTGGTAGATCGATAGCGACGGCGTGGAGCCCTTTGAGGCCCAGATACTCGACAATTTTGCGAAAAGAGTAAGAACTATGACCTAACCCATGTACAGTGAGTATGTTATTGGATTTGATGGGTCCATCTTGAATGGCGAAGACTTCAATTGGGGGGTGATTTGGGGTGGTCTGGACCTTGATGGTTCGACTGGTGGAGTAGTGGTGGCGGAGAGTGGTGGGGAGAGTGAGGAACCAGGTTTTGGGGTCTTGTGGGGTGAGGTGAGAGACAGAGACGAAAAGGAGGGCGATGAGAGAGACTGAGATGGGGTTGAGGTGAGGTGGGTTTGTGGATGAGTGGGGTTGAGTTGGTGTTTGGTTGGGGTGTTGGGTCTGATTCTTTGGAAAATTTTGTTTTGCAGAGTGATTATATATATATATATATAGTAAATAACACTATTGTCAAATAGAAAGTCAAATCAAAATTATAATTATTAAATTTGTTTTTTAAGTTCTTACTTTAAAAATATTAAAAGCATAAAAAATTTAATTCACCACAACTAAAATATTGCTTTTACTTCTATTTTTGAAAAAAATAAAAATAAAAAAATAAAAACGTTAATAATCGGTGGCTAAATATCCTTCAATTCACCAAATTATAGATTTTGAACTAAGGTCGATTGTGAGTTTGATATTTGTCAATGGTAAATTTTTTTATTTTTTGTTAAAGAAAATTTAATATAAAATAGATCAGCAATCAATAATGATCAGTAGAGAGAAGAGAAATCAAATATGAACAACAAAAGGAAAAAAAAATTAGGCGAAAAAGGTAATAATATTATATTTGAAGTGAGTATAAAGGTAATTTCAATTTTTATTGATGACATAAGCCAAATCACAAGTCTTTGTGAAGACTATTAGTGAGCAAAACGATACTTTCATAATTTTAGGTAAGTAAATTAATGAGTTAATTCGGAGTGTAATTTGAACAAACTTGAGAGTAATTTACTTTATACAAGTTTATATTATGTCAAAGTGGATTATTAGTATATCAAATTAATTATAATTCATGATTATTTAAGTACATGGAATTAAATATTTTAGTTTACATTTGAGTTCTTATTGAACTCGAACCAAAATCTGATTTATGGATAAAAAGTTACATTAGTTTTTTTTTTTTTTTTTTTTTTTTTTTTTTTAAAAAGAACCATGCGCCAGATTGTTGAGTTAGTAAAAGGCCCACGGTATATCCACGTGTTCCGTGGACCATCACAAACAGGCCATCAATCTCCGCCATCCGATTAACTTCGAGGACACATCGCCGCTGTTCGTTGTACACAGCCTACGCGAGCGTGGGAGCTCATTCTCTCTCTCTCTCTCTCTCATTCTTCTTCATCTTTACAATCAGCTGAATCGCCGATAAATCACAGCTCGTCTGCAACATTTAATCGAATCATGGTGCGCAATCTCTACACTTCTCTCCTTCAACTTTTCTGTAGTAGGGTTTCGATCGCAAATATTTATATTCGCAATTGATAGACACGAATGATTGTGAAAAAAGTTGTGCTTCATAATAGATCTATTAGTGTAAATTTCGCTGTTAGGGTTAATCAAGGGGATAAATTACAAAACTTGTATATTTAATTTATGTTGCAATCAATTGAAACCATTATTTGCTTCATCGGAAACAATATGAGAAATCATTTTTTCGCTTTTATTTTCCTCAGTTTTTATCTGGAATACTAAGGAGAATAAGAGGTACCTTGCCTTATATTACACTAATTTTATTTATTTTTTAAAATTTCATGCTTTAAGAGAAGCCCCATCATGCCATTTATTTCACGTACGATGATCCATTTCTAGATGTATTTTTGCAGAATATTGACTTTCATTGTTAATGTTTATTTCTATGAATTGGGTTGAACAGTGCTACAAGCCTACAAGGTTAATTCTCTTATTTATTCATCTCGCCTTTATACCTACTTGACCATTTGATTTGGTGTTTGTACGAGTGTGTAAATGACTAATGTCCAAACTCAAAACTGAAGTTGCTGCTGCTTTTTTTAAGTTAATATTGATCAGGTTCTGGCTGTTATAATCTAGTTTAAGCTGCATTCAGTTTTGGGACTTAATTAAGTGCCTTGGTTTTTCTTTCGAAGGAGGTGATAGCTTGCATTACAATGTCTTAGTGGTTTCTGTGTTTAGCCATTCCTAACTCCCAAGTGCTTTGGCTTAGTATAAAATACAAGGAGTTCTAACTGGGTATATCATGCATTAATCTCTGCTTGTTCCGACTTTCTTTTTTTCATGATGTCTTTTCTTTGGATCCTGCTATCCCAAGTATACCAGTATTTATGTTGGGAATTAACTTCCTTTTTTAATTTTGGTGTTATGCTGTAACTCTTTGATAGGCTCCCATCAGGGGCATTCTCACTTTGCAAAGGATGGCTTTGGCTCAGCGTCACTGTGAGAAGTGGGCACTGAGCAGTAGATTATTCAGTACTCAAGCTGCATCAAATGCTACTACTCCTCAACCTCAACCTCCACCTCCTCCGCCACCTCCTGAGAAAACCCACTTTGGTGGCCTGAAAGATGAAGATCGCATTTTCACCAACATATATGGGTTGCATGATCCCTTTCTCAAAGGTGCCATGAAACGGGGTGACTGGTATAGAACTAAAGATTTAGTACTTAAGGGTGCCGATTGGATTGTCAATGAAATGAAGAAGTCTGGCCTCCGTGGCCGTGGTGGTGCTGGTTTTCCATCTGGTCTCAAATGGTCCTTCATGCCTAAAGTATCTGATGGCCGTCCGTCCTATCTTGTTGTCAATGCTGATGAAAGTGAACCTGGAACCTGTAAAGATAGGGAAATAATGCGGCATGATCCTCACAAATTATTAGAGGGCTGCCTGATTGCTGGTGTGGGAATGAGGGCTACTGCTGCATATATCTACATTAGGGGTGAATATGTGAATGAACGCCACAACCTTGAGAAGGCTAGGAAAGAAGCTTATGCAGCAGGACTGCTGGGAAAAAATGCATGCGGATCTGGTTATGATTTTGATGTCCATATCCACTATGGTGCTGGTGCTTATATATGCGGTGAAGAGACAGCACTGCTGGAGAGCCTTGAAGGGAAGCAAGGGAAACCGCGATTGAAACCTCCTTTTCCAGCTAATGCAGGGCTATACGGTTGTCCTACAACTGTTACAAATGTGGAAACAGTGGCTGTTTCTCCTACTATCTTAAGGCGTGGGCCAGATTGGTTTGCTAGTTTTGGCAGGAAGAACAATTCTGGAACAAAACTATTTTGTGTGTCAGGTCATGTGAACAAGCCTTGCACGGTTGAAGAGGAGATGAGTATACCATTAAAGGAGCTGTTAGAGAGGCACTGTGGGGGCGTTAGAGGTGGATGGGACAATTTACTCGCTGTAATACCAGGTGGCTCGTCCGTTCCACTGCTTCCAAAGCATATATGTGATGATGTGCTAATGGACTATGATGCACTCAAGGCTGTCACGTCAGGGTTGGGGACTGCAGCTGTCATTGTGATGGATAAGTCAACTGATGTTGTGGATGCAATTGCAAGGCTCTCTTACTTCTACAAGCATGAGAGTTGTGGTCAGTGTACGCCTTGCAGGGAGGGTACAGGATGGCTTTGGATGGTCATGGAACGATTGAAAGTTGGAAATGCAAAATTGGAGGAGATTGATATGCTTCAGGAGATAACGAAGCAGATCGAAGGGCACACAATCTGTGCCCTGGGTGATGCTGCTGCTTGGCCGGTCCAGGGTCTTATTAGGCACTTCAGGCCGGAGCTTGAGAGGAGGATTAGGGATCGTGCAGAGAGGGAGTTACTGGAGGTTGCTGCTGCTTGAGTTTTCTATGCAGGTTGGTTTTTGCACCTTTTGACTTGTGTTTTTGACATTGTCTAGTCAGATTGGTTGAGGGGATAATATTCTATAGCATGATGTATGTGCAAAGTCAATGTCGCTAATGGACTAGTCCTTTTTTAATAGATGTCGGAAGTGGCCCTATTGGATGGTTTCAATTGTTTGTTTGGTTACTTATCTCTTGATCGTCATATGAAATAAGTTATGGTTCGAGAAACTAGGACAAATATGTATAAACGGAGGGCAAGATTTACCTAATTTGTTCAGATCCAACTCAACAAAGTTTCAGTCCTACTGTTTGGTTTCATTCTGTTCTATCTAAGGTCATACTTCAGTTAAACCAAACTTTATATATCTTTCATTACCTAGTCTCAGTCCATATTAATTTTGATCTTCATGTTCCCCTTCCTCTTACATTACTATCATGGTGGACTATGTCACTTTCTCACTAAAGTATTATTGGTAGCTGTTAAACATGGACAAACCATATTAGTCACATTTATTTATTCTCTAATGGGTTCCATCTTCTCATCCATGTTTCAACTATGCTTATTTCATGAGCATTTTTTTTTTTTTCTTTCTTACAGCATTTTGTGCCAATAGGTGTATTTGGTTAGATATTAGACAATGTCTATCCCACCTAGGGAGGGTGTTGGGAGACTACAGAGCATGAGGCTTCTGCCACTGCAGGGTTTGGGGATGATTTGATATATGCAGCCTTACCTCCTCATGTGGAGAGGTTGTTTCTGTTTTGAACCTGTGACCTAGGTCACGATGAAGCAACCTTACCATTGCGCTAAGGCCCACCCTTAGGGATAGACTAAAGACGAATACAAAATATAGTATGATTTTAATCAAAGTAGTTCAGAGTCGACATGCGCTCATGTTTGTTGGTTAGAGCCTTTATTATTGCGCCAAATAGTGATCCTGGGTCATGCCTCGTTCCTCTTGAGGGTTGATTAAGGCTTGAAGAGGTTTTTCAGTTGGGGCTCTTGTTCGGGATGCTTGGAGGGCTACGCCTCTTTGTATTTGTTGGTGCATTTGGCTTGAGAGAAATCCGAGATATTTCGATGGAAAGGAGAAGCCTATTTCTATGCTTAAGTTCTCTATTATTTTCACTCTTTTTTATTGGGTTTCAGGGAGAGATTATCGATCTTTAGAGGAGATTGTTGTTTTTTTGGCCTCTTTGAAGGCTCATATACCCAATATCACCTTATCCTAGATAATTATTGATAGTGGTAATCTCCGGCATATCAAATAATTTGTGTTTATGTGTATTGTAATTATAAGAAATTTCTTGGTTCTTAGTTACTTTGTGATCCATAAAGATATGAGTTCCTCTTATTTTCATAATTAATAGATTTATATGATAAAAGATCATATTAGATTGAAAAGAACAGTTCCTATTATTCCTACATGTTCCATTAGTAACATTCCCTTGGGATGTCATTGCGTATTTTGCTTGTGTTTAATCTTTCCCAATTAGAAATTATATAGAAATTTATTAGAAGTAGATTTATTGGATTGGTTCATCAATAGTGTTGGGTCAGAATCTTTTTTTGACTCTGCGCCATTGATTCCACTATTATTAGACTAAACAAGATTTGATTGATTCTTTCTTCCGTTTATTTATTTTTTAGATTTTCTGAATTCTTTATTCAATTACGACATAAATGAAATGTGAAATTTTTGAGTAGTCTACTTCCCTTCGAATAATGAATCCCCTAAATTAAAATTAAAGGAGAGGTGTTTTTTGGCCTTTCGAATCCCCTTTTGAGTGCTCTTCTATAAAATTTTGCTTTAAAAAAAAAAAATAGTGATCCTTTGTTGCTCTATATTAACTGTTTTATTGATTACTTCTTAATTTTATGTATAAATAACAGAATTTGCTAGAAGCACTTTCCATTTTATATGTGATTAACATCATTTCCAATCTTTTTCTCCGTGTAGGCAAAGGCATTATTCTTATCGTATGCATCTTTGCATTTTACTCACATAAAGAGTGTTGCATGTTGGGATCTTGGACACTGATGTTTTGAGTCATTCCCACTTCTTTTGGAGTGAACCGTGTCATTGAAATACTTTGCTACTCTGTCAACATTTTTTTTTTATATTTTAAGTTAGCAATATTTTTAATTTAAGATTTTTCTTATTGTTAATTTTAATGCCAAGTAAGAAGCATGCTAAGTCGTATTTAACATGTCCGTTGATGGTGGCCTCTGCACTTCGCATGCCATTTAATCATGCTATTGCAGTTTTGCCAAATCACGTTGACTAGGAAAAAGGTAAACTTACCGTGATGAGGCATAAAATAGTGTTGCATAAAAAAAGTCTTGATACTAGGTAGTATTTATTTTAGTAATTCATCACTGCATATCTCCTCATTTTGGGGAGGAGAAAATAATGATGTGAGTGATAAGATAAAATAATGTCCTGAGTTATTATTGTCAAAGAGTTACAATTGATGACACTATGGGCAATATTAATCAATCTACCTTATTCCTGTTTTGACGTAATCCTAGTTCTTGTCTTCTGCTATGTAGGGAAATCTCTTTGCTGCTGGATATTGTGGAATAAATATGCTTAAAGCACTCCAAACATTAGGAGGAGAGTTGACGAGGCAGCTACTATCCTAATGAATTGCATGTTTATTATTGTTGCTTGTATTCATCTGACTGCATTGAAGAAACTGTGATTCCTGTTTTTTTTTCTTTTCAAAAGCGTCTAAAGCCAGGATAATTTATATTTTTTTCTTGCTCCAAAGACATTACTGTCGTGTTTTCGGCAGTTTTGAGGCACTTTGTTTTGTGTATCTTTGTTTCACAATAAAATAGAAATGCCATGTCGCAGGCTTTTTTAGAGAAACCGAATTTGAAATATTTGATGTGGAACGGAACCGAGCACAAAAATGTTTGCTCTCTCCCTCTTTCAAAATATCATTTTGAGTTCTAGGTTGCTATTGTCATTGCATTATAACCTCTGATGAATCCTCCAGAACTCTACTACTACTTGAAAGATTTAATTGAGAACTAGTTTTTCTCACTTGGATAGGATTTTCCCAAGTTGTCCGGCACATTTATATTTAGGGCCTGTTTGGCATGCGTTTTGTTTTTGGCTAAAACAGAAATAGTGTTTTTGTTGTAAGTATGTTTTGGAAAAAAAAATCGGAAGCACATTTGGGAACGATGTTTTTTTATGGAATTGTTGGAAACAGAAACATATACACTTATGATTTTGGGCCATGAACAATTGTTAAAATAAGAAAAAACATCTTTTTGGTTTTGGGTCTTCACGAAGTGTTTTAGCACTGTGTAAAATAAAACAAGACCGCACTGAACATGTTTTTATTGTCAAAATTGAAACTTGTAGCAATAGTTCAAAAATAAAATAATAAAAACAAAATGCATGCCAAACTGGCCTAATCAAAGTGGTTATATTACGAGATAATGTTTTCTTTATATAAATATGCAGAAATGCATACATATATATATATATATATATATATATATATATATATATTCAATTTTAGAATATAAAAGATATAGTTACATTTATTGCATAAAACAATTGTATACGGATGGTGGTGGTTGGTCCAAGTTGCCTAGCAAATGAAATTGTCGAGAGATGGGCACATATTTGCCAATATTGTTGAGTATTTAAAGATCACAACCAAACATTTTAATTTTACACAGTGATCCACAGTTTCAGTAAATATTGAATCACACAAAGTTATTCAAGCTGACAAGAAAAACCGTCTCGGGCTGATAATTACAAAGCATTCGACTTGTGTACAAGAAACGGTTTTAGCATATTCAATCTATGGATATCTCTATCCACTATTAAGTTACCAAGACATGCTGAACAATTATATGTCCTTTTCAAATAATGTGGCATTTCATTGGAGGTGTCGCCTTTTTTAATGCAGCATCTGAAACGCTATATATATATGCGTGTGTGTGTTTATATGTATATATATATACATTATATATATATATATATATATATATATATATATAATGTATATATATATATAGGAGTTTTCAAGGACAATAAGGCACCTGCATTCTTTACAATGGCTAGACCAATGTCCCATTCTAATTACTTAGCGGTTTGTGTAATTGTATTACTATCTGTTAGTTTCAGAACATTTGGTAGTCCATCGGAGAAGACCGGTACTGCCTTCTTCATCTTCGGAGACTCCACTGTGGATCCCGGCAACAATAACTACATCGAAACGATCCCCGAGAACAAAGCCAATTACAAGCCTTATGGGCAGAATGGCTTCTTTGAAGAACCTACGGGACGCTTCTCCAATGGCCGCATCATTGTAGATTATATTGGTAATCATACTTCAATTTCTAAATTTTACATACACATTAGTTATTTAAAAACATGGTCTTTGATATACATATGAATATATCATTATAATTGGTGATACAGCTGAATATGCAAAGTTGTCGATGATTCCTCCATTCTTACAACCATCTGTTGATTATGTCAACGGCGTTAACTTTGCCTCCGGTGGGGCTGGCATACTTTCCGAAACCAATCATGGTTTGGTAAGGATCGTCTTCCACAATTATGAAAAAAAAAGAAAGGAAATTCTTCCAAGTTGTATCAAAGTCAATTGTAAAGTAGTTTACAGATTTTACCTGGCAATGAATTGACATTTGCAACCCTAACTTGTGAATCCAAAATTGTTCTCAGGTCATTGATCTTAAGACACAATTAAAGCACTTTGATGAGGTGCAGAAGAACTTATCAGAAAAGTTGGGAGATACACAAGCAAAAGAACTTATATCAGAAGCAGTTTATTTCTTCAGTATGGGAAGTAATGATTACATGGGTGGTTATCTAGGTAACCCAAGAATGCAGGAACTGCATCTTCCAGAGGAATATGTGGGAATGGTCATTGGCAACTTGACACAAGCCATTCAGGTGAGTGTTTGATGATGACAACCCTTCACTGTTTCAAGTGTGATGTCTATATTTTATTTATGTTTTGTTTTCTACTGATTCAGGTTTTGTATGAGAAAGGAGGTAGAAAATTTGGTTTTCTAAGCTTGTCTCCTCTGGGTTGCTTACCATCCCTTAGAGCCTTGAATCCTAAAGCCGATAAAGGTGGTTGTTTTGAAGAAGCTTGTGCTCTTGCATTAGCACATAATAATGCTCTGAAAGCTGTTCTCACAAGCCTTGAACATCTATTCAAGGGTTTCAAGTATTGTAACTCAGACTTCTACAACTGGCTATATGACAGAATGAATCATCCATCCAAGTATGGTATGTACAATCCATATCCCCCAATTTCTCAAACTGATCCATAAAAAAAAAAAGGGCAAACCCAATGCACTTCGTATTTGCATGCAAATCATATGTAAAGATTGATATATAAATACTCACACACGTCCTCCTAATGCTGCATGATTATGAAGGTTTCAGGGAAGGAGTGAATGCTTGCTGTGGAGCAGGACCCTATGGGGGCCTCTTCACCTGTGGAGGCACAAAGGTGGTCACTGATTACCAGGTGTGTGATAATCCTGACGACCACGTATGGTGGGATTCTTTCCATCCAACACAGAGGATTCATGAACAATTTGCAAAGGCACTCTGGGACGGACCTCCTTTATCCGTAGGACCATACAACCTACAAGATCTCTTCTTCAACAAGGAGAAGCTAATCATTGCTGATTTAGTTGATACTCCTGATCTGGAGCAGATTTTCTAATGCAGTTCCTAATAACTTGGGTTTGTTTCTTAATGAGTAGGGTAGTTTCAGCAGGTACTCATGTGAGGTGTGTACCAACAATCAATGTGGACTGCGAGTCTGTCAAATGTCTTCTTCTAAATTAATATGACGATGTGTTCAAGGAAAAAGAGCTTCTGGTTGACAAAAATGTTGATGTTCAAAAGACCATTCCAATAATGGATCACCTCACACACATCTATGTATGTATGTATTATGTATGTACATACCTGTATACATACTTTCAAGCCATGTCAGGATCACAGAAGTTTCATAGACATTTGGTCCAGCAAGTTTGGTGGTCTTCGATAGGAAGATTTCCAAGGTGGGCCGGCCATTCACTTTCCATACTTTAAAAAGAAAATTTAGCCATGGTAGAATCAAATAGTAAATAAAGGGGCAGTGAGGGACTCTGAACAAGTTCATGTATAGTCTGTAATAATAAGCTGAGAAATATCACTTTATATCATTCAATAAGGAACATGAAGAGCATAAATTGAGAAACACCATCCTAAAAGAAGACTAATTAATCTCGACCATAGGAGGTACCATGGTTCAAGTGTCTAACATGAACATAAAACAAAAACCAGTTACCGAGATCCTCAAAAATGGCACCTTAATGTATGCAGATTTAAGGGAGTAGTAGCAGCTCAACAACATTTCCCTTCTGCTGAAGCAGAGGAAAGATAATAAAATGCTCCAAGTTCCCATGCAAATAGGTCAGCCAAGAATGGGGAAGATACGGGTGATATGCTCCAATGGAACACTATCTGCAGTATTTTTCTTCAACTCTGGATCATTAAACTCATTGTGAGGTAGGATAATGAGTTGGCCCCTGCCTTGACTCTTCTCAAGAATCCAACCGCTGTTAGCTACATGGTGCTCAAGGAATTTGTCCAGGGAAAGCCCTTCAATGTTGATAGCCTGTAAGGTACCGATGTTTAATTAATAAGTTTATATGAGCGACCCTATAAAGCTGAGTATGATAGAAAAATTTGACACAAACTCAAGTTGGTAAAACAAAAGACCGTCCAGTGGGCTAAATTGCATCAGGAATAGAACTGGATCAGCCTATTGGGTCTAGTTCACACTGAAGGACGTAAACTATAAAAGTAGAATAGGAAGAAAAGAATGTCATTGCAAGTCCCCTGAACTAATTTTAAAAATTAGTAATAATCAATATTCACATCCAAAAATGACGGTAAATATTGTGTTCCTCTTTGTCCTCTTTAAATTGCTTAAACGGTATATTCATAAGTAAACCAAAAGTTTAAGCCATTTATTCTTCCAAGGAAACCATCATTTCCTGTACTCCTCAGTCGTCTACTTGCCAACCACTAGGTGCCAGCACAAAAACCACATTGTAGCAGGAATGAACATTAGCCATTTGAATGTGAAGGACAAAAAATAAAAGCATACCTCCGCAAGAACAGACCTCGGAACCTTCTGGTAAGTCAGAGAGAGGATATGAATTGCATAGGCTTGTATTGCTTGCTCAAAACCTGTAGTTATAATTCTTGTAAGCCATAGACTTCAAAGTTCAAACTCTCAGATTAGTTTTGAGGTGCAACTGGAACTGGGGCTCATGAGTCCAAGAAGCATAATCATAAACTACCTAAGGAAAACTAGGATGCAACAACCCTCGAGGCAAATAGACTTATCATGTAAGAGGAGCCATTACTTGAAGCATGAACCAACAATACACTAGTTGTAAATGTTTAATACCTGGCACAACTTCTACTATGTGACGACTCTTCGCAGCTTCTTCCCAAAACTGACGGAATCGTGCTGTCTGCAGGTGAAAACTAAGTGTGAAGTGTTGATCGATTTCACGCACGTACATTATGTACATAGCAGTAACAATCTGGGATAAAAAAATACCTCCAAATAGTGTGAGAGAACAATTAATGTCTTGAACTGTTCCTCCATTTGCTGATAATTGATAAAAGAAATCAAAAAGGAATTTTTTAGTTATAGCAGCTACATGATGAAGTTGGAATTTTGTTCTCACAGTTCATTGTAAACTATGTAAACCATTTTTAAAGGAGAATTGTTGCTAGAACAATCTGTGATTCCTAATTCAATCCCATTGCATCATCAAGAGAGTCCAAAGTTGACAGGAAAAAGAAGGAGGTTGGAGAAAAGAAAACACAGATACGAAGACAAGAGAACACAGCATAAGAAATATTACGCGTCCCCAAATTTCTTATCTTTTGATGTTGCCATAATGAAATCTATCATGAGATTGTACAAAAGATCTAATTTGGTACACTTGAAGCTCACGGCCTTCTACATGCATTCAAGTGTAAAAACATCCATATGAGTCTGGCCACTATAGAAGTGGAAGCCTCCTCACAGATAATGTAATGGAAAACAACAGAAGCAATTACATTTAAAACAAATTGGATTTGATTCTACACAATAATTAAGATAACTTGTAAAATCATTATGCTTTTCCTTCCTAATTGATCCTTGACACTATATGAACATTCCAAAGACAAGCGTTTTTTGCTTCTTGAACAAAAAAGATTAATAAGAGTAATAAGACTAAGTGCACGCGTAAAAATACATAAAAATTAAAGAGAGACATTGTTAGAAGTTATAGTTTGATACCACTCGTTCTGGAATTAAAAAGAGACAGAGGTTGAAATCCGGGGCAGGCATTGCCATAAGAGCCTGCTCAAGAGGAAGAGAAAACCGAGGATCAGAAACACATTGTGTGCCAATATGATACATAAAACTGTTATATATACACACCACACACAAACACAATCAGGACAATTTTTTCTATGCAAAAGTTTAATTAGACCTTAATCAAAATGCGGGCAACAATTTGGGTACTCATTATCTCTGGCTGGAACTGCAATAAGAAACATGTTGTTAATAAAGTGATTTCACAGTTAATTATAATTTGGTCTACTAAATGATAAAGAAAATATCCAGTTGCAATGTCGAAAAGACAAGCAAACAATTACCTGATAGAGACGGAGAAGGCAAAGATTTGCATCCAGACTGTATGTTTGTGACGAAACCTGGTTCAGTAAATTTACAATTATTAAGAAAACATCAATTATGGCTATCATACTTAAGGATGTAGTAGTAAATAATGAGTTACAAATAAAAAACTGTGTGCATTTGATAAAAACTGTGTGCATTTGAAACTAAGATGGTTCTTTTATCTCATATGATGATGAACTTATAAATGTTCACAGTTATTCACAACTTGCAATTAGAATGTGTGAAGTGTGCAGTATTAACATGTTTCACTAACTTCATGAACCCGTAAATTATCAACCTGAGCTATGTTTGCCAATAGAATTGATGCCTTGGAATTGGAATTGGAGAAAAATTAGCTCACAGTTTAAACGAATTTTCCTCCAATTCCAATAACTTGATTCTTTGTTTCCAAACACAATTTGGGTATTACTTTACGGTCCACTAATAGATTATATGCCCCAATTATATTCCACTCAGAAGTCAGAAATTACATATCCAACATATGGACCACAGATAAAATTATAGGGATTAATGCCCACAATTGTATTCTACCACCACATTATTGTATACACGTTCTTCTTGTGTATGTGTATCATAAAGCTTCTTAATTGAAACAATCTCTGGCATATGCCAATAGAATCGATAACCTTTTTTCGTGTTCAAGATCGATCAATAATTTTTTCCTTTTTAAAAAAAAAAAATATGTTTTTGGTTTACATAACCCTAAATATAACATGAGTAGAAAAGAATTCAGCAACTTTCCACCATAAAAAATCAATTGATATAAAACTCTGAGTTAAAATAAATAGATATATATTAAACCAAACAGAAAGAGATGTTCGATTCTAAGCATATAGATAGGGAGAGAGAGGAACCTGCTCGTTGACGTAGTTTTCGAGATCGGGAAGTATGTCAGGGTTGTAGGGATTGACGGCGACGAGCTGCTCCACTGTGTATGACGCCGTCGACTGCTGCTTTTGAGCCACCTCTGTCTCTCTTCCCATCTTTATATGTGTGTGTGAGAGAGAGAGAGTGAAGTGTGTGTATATGAATTTCACCTTCAGCCTGCTGCTGGTGTTGGATATCGAGACTCGAGAGAGAGGATAGAGACAGCGGTTCTTTCGGTCTTCAGTTCTCGCTGTTAGGGTTTTCAGGTCTCTAAACAGAACGCGTGGATTGAAATACGGTTATGCCCTCTAATTTGTTACTATTAGGATTATTATTATTATTATTATTTTTTTTTTTGGCCTTTTTAGCATCATTAAATGATAAATTAAAAGGAATGAAATGTTAGAAGTATTTATTATTATTACTTTTTTTTAAAAAAAATCAAAATTCAAAAACTATCAAACATTTCAGATCAAAAGCTCATTAAAAAAATATAGATAAATTCACAAGTGCCAACTGCCAACTGCCAACAAATATGTATATATCATTTCCTTTAAATTACTACTCTGTATAATCTTATTTTGTTATTATTTTTCTTTTCATGAAATATCTTTGTGTTATTCTTTTCTCTGAATATCATGAAGAGGAAAGAACATCAAAGTTAATCATAAAAAAAATATTTGTCTAACATGTGTTATGACATAAAATTAATTAAAAAAAAAAAAAATTTGTTTCCTTTTCTCTATCCATGTTCAGAAGAGTAGGATCTTTGAACTTCTTTTCCAATTTTCATACCAACACTTTATCAAAACTTGTTTTTCCCTCTTTTTTTAAAAATTATTTTTGGTTTTTTTTTTAATTTAAAAAATGTATTAATAAACTGATAGTCATAATTATCATTTTCTTTCGTATTTACAATTAAATTCCAAAACTAAGCTACACAAACATTATAAGTTACAATCATCAACATCAACTACACGCGCGCGCAAAGTAACAACAGTTTTAGAATTCTGTTATATAATGTCACAAGATCGAATATCAAGACCGTTGATAAATTACAAAGAATCTACCGATCACCAAAGATTGTGACTAAGTGAGTAAAATGGACAAGTGAGTTTGGCTGCAGGACTAATAAAAACATAAATTTTCCGGTGCAACCTTCCTTGTTACACTAATTTGGCTGCAGGACTAATAAAAACATAAATTTTCCGGTGCAACCTTCCTCTTCACCTCTTCACATCACTCCGACAGACCTCAAACCCACCGTGAACAACATCAGCTTAAGAGGGGTGATTGAAAACGGTAAATTCAATATAGAGGGGTGATTGAAAACGGTCCAGGAGTTCAAATCAACCTACTAATAATGCATACACAAACATGTAATGAAATACGCAGACATCACTGCAGTTTCCAAAATTAAAGTACAATTGAAATCATGAATGTATGCACTCCATAATGCTTATTTTTACAACAAATGCCAACCAAAAAAATAAAGAATTTGATACATCCTGGATAAATTTGAGTCACACCATCTGTTGTTCAAAGACCTGGTACACGATTCTAATATATACATGAAGTCTGCTTGCTTGTTACCAAGCCGTGGAGTCGTTTTCTTAATATTGCTGCTGCTGCTGCTATAAATGCCTAGTACTACCATTTTTTTTTCATTACATACATTTTATAAAATGGTTAAATGGATAATAGCACAAGCAAAAAATCAGGTGTTAAATATAAAACTTCCAACGAATTGGGAGCTAACAAAAAGAAATCAATGAATCTATATAACGTGTTTCCTTACAGATGCAAGAGATTCGATATCAAATTCCAGCCCATCCATGTCTTTTTGTCAGAAGGGGGTACAAAATTAAGCTCAAACATCTCCTTGGAAACATGCTCTCCAGATTCACAAAATCCAACGAGCTTCGCAACAATTTCAGCACTTTCTCGTACATGTTGCATGTTAAGAGGGTCTGTCCACAGTTTGTTCACCAGTTGCAGCCTCCTTCTCTGTCTTCCTTCCGGTGGGATATCCCATTTTATATAGAGCATCTCTCTTTCTTCTGCTGTTAGTTTTGAACTTACTCTCTTTGCTAGATATTCTCTCTCCTGCTTGAGAGCCTTGATACTGCATTCATAACCAAGAGCAATTATTTCAATTAATGCATAAAGATTCCTAATCATTAGATGGTCAAGATCAATTTCCGATAAAAGATACCTTGCTGAAACGGAGCCTGCAGGTTCATCACCGAGGAGCGCTGGGCTTGCGTTGCCAAGCTCTGCCAAATGCTGCTCCAACCACGTCAACCTTCTAAGTTCTACTTCCATATATATCTGATCAGCAGGTTCTCCTCTGAAAAGCAAATAAAATTGTGTACGGTGTACAATTGAAACATGGCACAAATGCCACAACATTATAATTTGCTTTCTTTGATCCTCAAACACCAAGTGCCATGACATGGGAGATTGATCAACTATATCCGTCTCCTCATTTACAGCCTCACTTGACTCCAGCTCTAACACCTGATGCCACATTTGAAATAAAAATATCACACATCAAGGTTATAGTGAACAAGGCGCACTCCAGAATCTAACTGGATTGGAGTTCTTCGAGTCAGGTGCATCATCTGAAATCAAAGAGTTGAATGACATTCCAAATAATTATTTGAAGATGATGGAATACTAAAATACTCCTCTTTAAGTGTAGGATTGTAATTCATGGTCTACACTCTAATACGACTGTATAAAAATCATTAAATTTTGTGGCTTTGCACTAATGGAAAATAATGTCTGATACAAACCCAAAATTAGTACAATTCTGTGTATAGAATTTACACACACCTTGAATCACCAATGTATTGATCCAATGCATCATTGTTTCCACCAAATACAAGAAGATTAGTGATGAAAATGACATAGATCATCCACTGGATGCACACAGACCAAAGGTTTTACCAATTATATCATTCAAAGTCTATACACAATATTATGGGTTGTGATGATTCACCAATACATACTTAGTAATCATAAGTTGTCCCATTAAGGGACACATATTATATTGCATGATTAATGTACAGGACATTTTCTTGATGAAAGAATGCATAAAAAATCCAGACCATCAGCCATAGTTGTCCAGAAAAGATTTTGGACCATGTACAATCAATATGAAAACCAGAACTTCATGTCAAGTCAATATTAATGTGCCCTGTATGTGTGTGACTTAAGTTCATTTTATCACAAATTACGAATATCTTCTAAATCTATACTGTCAAAAAAAAAAACCAACGGGCGAGTAGCCTAGCGGTATCAGCCTCTTACTTCCCAAAGGGAGGTCAAGAGTTCAAGTCTCAGAAGAGACAAGTGTGCGTGTGAGTACCAACTAGGAAAAAAAAAACTGTCAGAAAAAGTAAAGCAACTGTATTAGACAATAAATTTTCACCTGGCAGACCAGAAGCTGCTTTTGGTATTGTAGCTTTGCCACACGTTCTTTCAGCTCTGTAACATAAGCTTTAATGCTTCGAATGTTCTCCTCAGCCGCTGTCTTGAACATTTTTTGCATTTTCTTCACATTAACTGAATTAGATTTCCGTGATGCAGGAGTACCCTCCCTTGATGACATATAGTTACTGTCTTCATCATTCTTCAGTGGAGTAGTAGCCCTGTGACCTTGCAATATCTCCCCTCTAGAAACATGTTCATTACTCTCAGGGACCCTATTCTCAATTTCATATTCCATTACTTTGCGAGAAGAGGACAAAGGAGAGCACGGAGACCGTATTATATTGGGCATATTGGCAGTATTGCTGAGGGTAAAAGGAAGGATTTTTTTCTTCTTCAATTGGCTCTTGGAGTCTGGAGTCTCCTCACCATCCGGAAAATACATGACCAGCTTGTCGATAGACTTCTGAACATGCTCAAGCTTTTCTTCTAGAGAAGCAATATTGCTTCCTTCATAGTTCAATCGAATTATTTCTTCCTTCAGACTGCCTTTAGCCCTAATCTCAATTTCTTCATTAATGGAACTAATTGCTCGCATGTCCTTTATCTCTGACAGTAGCTTTGCTATGGTTTCAGCAGCATCTTGGCTGCCCAGCTTGTGAGATGAAACCTCCTTGTGAAGCACTTCAAGTGCTCGATTAGCTTCTTCACCAAGCTGCTTCTGCAGCATCTCAAGCTTCCGAATTTCATGAACAAGTATGGATGGATCTGTAGAAGTAGAGGACTGCCTCACCATTGCCTGCCTTCCAAGTGTCTTTCTTCCCCGAGTTTCCAAAACAGGTCTATTTGAAACTGATGGATTATTGGCAGAAAAAGAAAGACACTTGGCTACTTGACGAGAAGGCCCACATTGGTTTAACCCCTTAAATGTATAAAATGCAGGTTAGAGACAAATCTGTTTCTCTCAATCCACCTAAACAAAAGAAGAAAATTAATTTTTTAAACAGAAACAATGATACTCTTTGGTCATACCTTTGGCTCCTTGTTTGCCCTTCTTTCTAGTTCAAGTTGGGATTGTGCAGCATCTCTCTGACGCTTCAGCTCATTCATCTCCCTCTCCATCTGCATTGGAACTTTCTTATAATAAAAAAAAAAAAATTGAGGAAATTCATTTTAATGGAACTGTGCTAACTCTTCCCATTTTGATGTTTTCATGAAAATTGTAGGGAAAAAAAAAGTTCCAGAGAGTCCAAACAACGTAAAAGCAAGCTGACTATCATATTACTAAAACATCTATTGTTGTATGTACTGCATAAATGATCTGTTGTCATATTGTTTGAGAATGAAAATCATAGGAAAAACAATATTTTCCAGAGAATCCCAACATCGTAAACAATAAGCTTGACTATCATTTCACTAAACGATCTATTGTATTTACCGCATAAATGATCTGTTGTCATATGAACCACATTGATTTGTGCAAGACCTCTTATTTACTACACATAAATGATCTGTTGTCAAATGGACCACAGAAAAATAATGCAAGGAATACTTTCTCTTTGACTTCTGAAGGTTGATTAGCGATGTGTAACTGATACATTGAAATTTGTGGATAACCACAATATCGTAACTATAAAAATTATAAATCCTTTCTTTAAATTAGAAAAAATGCATATCTAAGCCATTTTTACAAATCCACTTATAAATTATACTACTGCAAAGGAATTTTAAAAATTATAAATCTTCTCTACCTATGTATTATCTCCTAAGTGAAAATTCCTTATTCCATTACTCTTGAGACATGCATACCTTCTGGATTTTCAAATTCTTTTCCATAAGTAAAGTCCTTAAACATGAAGAGGAAGAAGGTTCTGGACTTTGCAGCTCTGCTTCAAGTCTTGCAACTTCCTTCTGCAGATGCTTCACTAATTGCTTGTCTGCAACAACCTGACAATATAAATTATTTTGCAACTCAAAATCAGGGCTTTATTATTGACCAGTCAAGGTTACATTAACAACCTGGATAAGTTAGCATGTGGACATCTAAAGGTTAGTCAAACAACCAAATAACAGAACTTTCAACTACAAAATATACAAAATACATGAGATAAGCGTATACATGTACCTGTGTGGATAAGTATGTATATTTTTATATATTATACAGGGTCAATTTCAAAAAAAAAATTTAAATCCCTTCCACAGCCCATTAAAGTTCAATAATATGAAATTCCTGGATTGGTACACAACAAAATTTTCTTGGGTATCTCTGTTCAGTGTTGAGTGATGCCTTAAAGAAGCAAAAAGATCTCTTTTGAGGAAATGAAACAGTTTCTTCCAAGGATTTGCAAGGTACATGTTCCTAGAAGAACCATAATTCTCCCTCCATCTCTACTCTCTCTTTCATACACCAGACATCTCAAAAGTTATTGCCAACATGGAAGATATAACTTTGCAATACAATACAAATTAATGGAAAATTCTGTAGGAAAATATTCAGCACAACAAATTAAAATCCCTCCCTCCCTCCCTCCCTCTCTCTTCTCTCTCTCTCTATATATATATCACACAGACATTTAAAATTATTGCTAAAATGGAAGGTACTTTGCAATACAATAAACATATTAACAAAAAATATCATAATTTTTATTATATTGCAGATGGTTTCCAACTTTCCATATAAGACCCCCTTCATTAAATTCAAATCTAGTGGTAAAAAAAAAGAGTAGTTTTAATACTATATTTTCTATCACATTTTTACTAAATTTATGAACTACTTACATTGAAATTATTTTGAAATTCTTTGTAAATCAAACTTGTTTAAAGTTAAGTGAACTAAAGTTAGACTAGAATAAATGTACTAAAGGTCACTGGAAATAATTCCTCCAACTTGCTCTAGATGTACCATAATCACAGAAGGGGAATTTAAAATCTAGACATAATAGATAGTTCAATATGGTTTACTGCAGATTGTCATGAGAGCCTGGCTTTCTATAAGCAGCATGGGCATGAGACCAGCTAATCTTTTACCGGTTAAAAAGGAGCTCTATGAAAATAGTAACAATTAAAATAGTACTTACAGAATTCCATATGACAACAAAACTGAGAGTTCAGAGTAGGAACTATTAAATAACATCAAATGCTACCGTATATAGCACAGAAGTATTTTATTTATTAGGTTAGACAATGTCCCTTCACATACCATGTTTACTTGGGCACTGTTTGTAACTTCCTTAGCACTAGTTGCAAACAAGAGAGTATTCCGTGATTGTTCCACATGGCTTAAAGCAGGACTCATAGTACATATTATTGCTGTTCGAGCATTTCCCCCAAGTGAATGCTGCAATATTCTTGTGAGTTTTGAATCTCTGTAAGGGATGTGACCATTCCTCCTTCCACCACTGCATACAGAAAACCAGATGAGAAAGAAAAAAAATCACATGCAGTTACATTGTCCAGAATTCTACTGGATAGTAAAATATAAAATTACTTTAAAAAACACTACGACAAATGGCTTATGTTACAATTTAGATTCTGTAGGAAAAGGTCCATTTTCAAATTCTCAGAATCATTCGAAAAGCTACTTGTGTATATGGTTCTGCTAAAATGCAAACCAACCTTAGCTTTCTAATCACTGTCGTCAAAGTCAATAAGCTGCGGTTAATATGGCTTCCTTCCTTCAATCTAGTACCGTCTGCATTTGTTTGGGAAGCACGTTCGCTCCCAGCGAGGTCCACAAGATTCTGCAATTCCATAATTCAAAATTAATATGGCTGAACTATTGTTTGATAATTAAATACCGAGTAAGGTGAATAAAGATCAACATACCAGACTTGCCACGAAAGATTTCACACAGCCTGAATTTTCTGGGCGACTGCTCTGTATGGTCTAAAAAAAAGTTTAAAAAATGCGTCAAAAGATTTTGACCATGTTTGTGGGCATTTAATCTATTTACTCCCCGAAAGTAGTTCATACATAATAAGCTAAGCTTGGGATGTAACAAAAGGGACCACACATAACATGAGTCACTTTATGGCTCATGCTATTATAATAGTATACTAAATTATGTATAAGAGAGCAAACAGTTAAATTTTATATGTCAGTAAAACAGAAATAATTGGTGGTCATTTGAAGCTATTTTCACCCATTTGATCATACAACTATAATCAGATTGATGGAAAAGATGGTGAATTTACTGGGCAATAAGAACATATTCCTTTGCAACTGACTAATCTCTAGAAGTACAACACTTTTGTAAACCCAGAAAAATTGAGCATTCATAGAGTGTTTTTGTACTTTAATCACTCCAAACATGGACCACTGGATGAAAATTTAGAACCATTTGTCAAATTGGAAAAATCATTATAAAAATAAGAGTAGATAAAGATGAGCATGTAAAAGAAGATGTAAGAGAAGCCCCATTATGCATAAATGGATGAGTGATCATGTCGAAGAAAGTAAAAACTCTTTTGTGATTCTCTCTTTCTTTCCTTCATCCTAATTTTACTGGAAAACATGTTCAATAAGCACTTTTTGAAGTCTACAGAATTGCACGATAAAGGTTGGATCATATATGAGCATAGATAAAACCAGTGACAACATTGCCCATAAATGCGAGTCAGTGAAATTCTCAAGGCTACCAAAAAGGGAGGAAAAATAGAAAAGAACAAGAAGAATTAGCACCTCCAATAGTATAAAGAGCATTATAATTGATGATTAACTAATAAGTATATCACATATCTTTGATCTTACTCTTGACTTGTTACTTACATGGAACACCTAGCACGCGACCACAGGGGGTCATTATTGGATCCTCTTGTATTATTTTAGTTAGCAAAACCTATCCTACTTGGATTCAGCTTTTGAAAGTCAATGAGTAAGATGCAATATACAATGCACTGTTAGTGGGACCCGTTAAAAGAACCCACTGGGTTAAGCTTACCAGCCTAATTATCTGATGCGATCTTGAGCTTTTATCATTTAAAGCAGTTTCACCAACTTGCCTTTGAGCTGCAAAGATAAATATCAGCATATCACAAAAAACCAGAGATAACAAAAGGGGAAAATGTTTCAAATAGAAGCAGCATGCATTTCATGTTTTTCTACAAAATCTAATTCATCTAGTATCAAGAAAGGAAAAAATCAACTGTCTAAAACCACACGATCATCTATTTTTGCATGGATATGCTCTTAGTTTTGTGCAACTGGGCGGTCAAGTTCTCCCAAAGTTGTGCACTAGGATGGCAATGAAATAAAAAAACAGGAAGTATTACTCCTAAACACCTTACTATGAAGTTGAGACCGTGTTTTACCTTCACAAATACCAATTAAGTGCCTTAAATGTTGACCATCTTTAACAACCTCTTCAATTAGTTTCTCCACTATAGTCCCTCTCTGTAGTTCAGAGAAAAAAGAAGAAGAAGAAGAAGAAGAAGACATTTACTATTGAAACATAGAAAGCAATCTAATCTTCCATTTGCACTAGAAAGTCAGTTTTATCTACCTCAGGATCATCCAGTAGCCGTAGGGAGCCAGAATCACGATTCAAGAGGTCTACTACAGTCTCATTGTAGATCTCCAAGGCCGAAAATTTTAGAACAAAGTCCCTCTCGGGAGTCTGCGAGATGACAAAATCGAACCATCAAATAAGCGCAAGACCTGACTGGATCTCTTGAATCAGGGAGCTAATTAGAAACTCAAAAACGGAGTACATCTTATTCTGACTAATAACAAAACAATCCTGTTCTTTTTCAAAAAAAAAAAAAATTGCAGTTGAAAGTTCAGTGGAAGCTAGGAAGGTTGTATTTGCATGTTTCAAGAGAACAATACTTGGTTGTTTTTCTTACAATATTTTACTATATAACTTACGTGCATGATGTGTTCATAGATGTCCTTGACAGCACTTTCAGTTATCCCCCTCATGGTAAATGTCTTACCACTGCTAGTCTGGCCATATGCAAATATTGTTGCTGCACAAAAATATTAGATTACTCTAAGAATTGGCTCAAATAGAAATTCATTTATTGCGTAGGAAGCAGTTCCGGTTACCATTAATTCCATTTAGAGCAGAGAGAGCGACATCCCTAGCACCTCCTTCATAAACCTTCTGAGTAGAGCAGGTTGGATCAAAAACTTTATCTGGCATATACATGTAAATACATATATAAATCATTCTTGCTTTAGAAATTAGAACAACAGCAGTACTTAATTTCATAAAAAGAACAGTGTTTATAACCAATCTAGTTGACAAGGTTCCACATTGCACGAAAAACAAGTGAATAACACATAAATAATAGAATGCTACGTTGAAGTTATACCGAATGTATATGGGCCTGTAGGTCTCTCGTGATTTAGATTTCTGGAAAGAATTGTTTGCTCATCTGTGCACTCCCAGGCAATAAGATCATAGGCTGCTTGCTCTTTTGGGCTAAGTGGCCTTACTCTAACTGTGACGAGTATCTTCTCCTCGCGAACCTTTGAACCACCTGGAGTACCACTGGGAGTACATGAAGGGGTCCTCCTGATCTTTGATGCTGGTGTGGCCGGTGTCCCCACCGTCATCTTTACAAATTATACTATTCTTCTGCAATCAAACCATTTCAATTTGTTAGACTAATTTCAATTAAGAAATTACCAAATATGGACTTAAACTACAGTGGACACACTGGCACTAGATGATACAAAGAACCACACATTAGTTGATTTTTAATCAAAATCAGCAGATGAATCTATTTTTGCAAAATTAATTATGATATGCAAGATATCAAATCGGCAGTGATAAAATCTGATTCAAAAAAGAAAATAGTCAACCCACATCCAAATTGAAGAAAAACCCTATTCTCCTACATCTGAGACCAGACATTTCTACCTATTCCTCCACACACACGCACACCTGTATATATATAATAAGAGAAAGAATGAGAAAGAAATGCTTCAAAGACGAAAACCTTTATTAGTCTCACAGCGTAGAAGGAAAAAAAGAAAAAGAAATACGTTCATTCAAAAAGAACACACACCCCTCTTCATATCAAGAACTGTATAATCTTGTCCTACCATTTTACGTTCAGTCAACAAAATTCACCTGAAAATTTGGAAGAAAAAGAAAAGAAACTTCTGTCTCTGCGTAATCTAGTAAAAAATAATGATCGAATACAGATATGGTAAACTCAATCTCGTAATCAGTGTGTGAGATATTTTTGACGAAAGGAACAACAAAAGTCACCTAAAATATGAAACAGAAATTAACATTATTTAACACTGAGAAAGACTTACTTGCAATTCACTTCTGATCTTTTTAGTTAGAGAGAGAACAAAGTGCAGTGAAATCTTGAAGGCCGCCGGAAAATCAAGAGCTACTGATGAACACGAATTTCAATAAAATGAAGCCCAATTACAGAAAAATGTTAACAATGAATCATTTAGGGTTTGAAGAAAGGAATGTTAGTGTTACTCAGAGAGAGAGAGAAAGGGGGAAAAACACCTGAGGGTTTTTTTAGAAAGTTATGTGTTTGATGGAGAAAAGAGAGAAATCGTAACGGCTCTTTCTATCATTTAGTACGCTTTCGTTTCCTTTCGCCACGCTCGCGCTGCTCAAGTGAGTGAAGTGGCAATTTAAATTGGACGGCGGTGGGCCCACTGGACCGCTTGCAGTTATGCATTTACAAAATTGTCCTTATTCTTTTGTTCTTGGACCAAATATTTAGTTTCAAGCTTGAACAAGATGGGCCAAGGTAACTCTCCCAATAGATACCAGTGTATGGGCAGGCCTGTGTGACAACCAATTATGGAACTCTGGAATTCTAAACCATTTATAATCCATAGAATGGGCCTTGAGCCCAGTGCCATCAATGTGGTTTCTTACAATATGCAATGTGTCCAAGTGTTAATGGTCTTTTCCCATATCGAATATGAATAAAAAGAGATGTATGATATGCAACATTACCAAACAATTTAAACTTTAGATTAAATGATAAGCGTCTACCACCACCTATAGTTTTACTTTGACTTGTAGAGTCCATTTTCTACTTAGTAGCACACCTAAGTCACATAAAATAAGAACAACAGTGTGAACATCAAAGCGGTAAATTTTAAGTCATACAAAATGATAACATTTTTCTCCTAGAGTGACAAGATTTGGAAGGAAATGATAACAAGTTCGGTTGTAGTTTTGTAATACCAAAAATGCCCTCATCATCTTAAAGAAGAAAATTTATATGACATTTCAGTCCCACCTGGGGCATTTGATTGTTCTTCGGTCTTCTTCACTGCCCCATTCCACCAGCCACGCACAAGCAGCTCTCTTCTTCTCTAATGTTTTCTCCTCCAGCTCCGGCATTCTCCATTTTCGGCGTCACTCAAACACAATCCTCTCCTTACAAAGCGCAACTCTTTGTCTCCAATTTTTTAGATTTGCTCATCGTATTTGATTATTTATTTTCAAATAATTTAAATTTATAGTACAGTGATCGATCCTTTAGTTCTGGATTTGAGGTATTTGATTTGGAATGTTAATGATTTTGAAGTTGGGGTTTATGCTACTCTATGTTGGTGAATAGGTTTGCTGAATTTATTTTGCCTTTTCATGCCCATGCCCATTAGCTATTGGGATGTTTGAGCCTTCAGTTGGTGTACAAATGGGTGTGGATTTAGTTTCATCGGTGTGGATGATTGCAACATTTATACATGTGATGCTGGTGTCTGTTGGTGACACTCAAAAAAAAAAAAAAAAAGAACTGAGCAATACCCAAAGGAGATTTCTCATCGCTTGCTGGTGTGTGTCCAAATGATGGGCAAGAAATTTTCTGTGGAGATTGTTAGTGCAAGGTTATAATAGGAAATTGGTTAAAATAGTTTCTTTTCTTTGGTTAAAAGGTTTTAGTCCAAATAGGAAGTTTTTTTTCTTTTCCTTAGTAATTTATCCAAACACATTCAGTGGTCATTGTTATATTTTCCTTTATTTTCTTTTCTTTTATAACTAATGATTTTTTTTTTTTTTTTTTTTTTTTTTTCTCTCCTGTTTATCCAAACAAAGCCTAAGTGTTTAAATATAAGAAACACGAATACTTCTACAAAATTGACATATTCATATTATGTCTGTACTGAATACTAACACTTCTCGAATCTGTGTTTGATATTTCTTAAACGTATTCTTAATTTTTTATTATATTTAAAAAAATTTAACACTTAGGCAAGAAATTTTCTGTGGAGATTGTTAGTGCAAGGTTATAATAGGAAGTTGGTTAAAATAGTTTCTTTTCTTTTCTTCTCTCCACCTCTTTCAAATAAGAATGCTATCATTTTTTTTCTTTTCCTTAGTAATTTATCCAAACACATTAAGTGGTCATTGTTATATTTTTCTTTATTTTCTTTTCTTTTATAACTAATGATTTTTTTTTTTTTTTTCTCTCCTGTTTATCCAAACAAAGCCTAAGTGTTTAAATATAAGAAACACGAATACTTCTACAAGGTTGACATATTCATATTATGTCTGTACTGAATACTAACACTTCTCGAATCTGTGTTTGATATTTCTTAAACGTATTCTTAATTTTTAATTATATTTAAAAAATTTTAACACGTATCCGATACTTTTAAGAGACTTCAAAACACATTTGTAACAAGTTTTGAACTTAAAATTTAACATTTTCAACAATAATATTATGGTATAATTGTTAAGAAAAGTTCAAAATATATGACTAGTGATACTTGTTTTATATTTTGTGAAATGAAGGCCTATATTATACTACGTATTAGTAATTACATTTAGATGCATAACCTTTTTTAAAAAATTAGTCAAAAATTAATTATATATATATATAAATAATTTTTTATTTTTTATTGCCGTATTTTACTAATACTCATATCCTGTTTATTTGAGATTTATCGTAGGTATTCGTATCGTGGTATTCGAATCTCGTATTTCTAATCGTACTTCTCAAGTTTGAATTAATAATATATATGTATATATATATATATATATATATATATATATATATATATATATATTTGTATTATGAACATGTCCATGAAAAATCAAACAAGCGTCCACCTCATGTCCAATACAGATAGACTACTTCTTACTATATGTGTAAATGGAAGGCAAACAGGGTCTTTGTATCAGTATGCTGTAGGGTAAGTTGAAATTCACTGCCTATAAATGGTTGATATGAAAGGCCCAACTTGTATGTTTTTTCCAGCCCCCACTCCCGGAAACAGGAGGAAGAAAGGTGTCGGACTCTGACTGATGTTCCAACATTTTCACATTGCCAATGGGCCTCGGCCTATTATTTAGGTGTCCCAGCAGCAAGTCAATACAAACACCTACATTGGACACACATTTAATTTTAAAGTGTTTCACCGTCGAAATTTATTGATAAAAGGATTTCATTTTAACAAATGAAAATAGATATTGTAGGACTCTAATACATAGGTTTTTCTCAATACATATTATATATATCAAACTTATCCGGATTGAGATAATGAAATGATAGTGACATGGGCATTAAATTTTTTATTTTGTTTGGCGATCGTATAATGAAAATTTTTATGATATCTTATCATTATTATATATATATATATGTATGTATGTGTGTATATATATATTTATTTGCAAGTGGCATTAAATTTAATTAAAGCCAAGCAGAAGAGAAATACAAGCAAGTAAAACCAATCCAATCATGGCCAACCATAAATAAATAAAAAAAAAAACACCTCATAATCACCGGTGGTTGCAGCCGCTTGAAGTATAAGCAAAGTGCTCAACAACAAACAACAAACAACAAAAAAATTTATTAAACGGGTCATCAGTGCCACCAATAAACCATCAAAGCAATCCACAGTTTTAATTCCTTTAATATTAGTATGATTTAGAAGGTATATAGTACGACCAGGTCAACTACCACAGTAATTTTATATATACAGTTCTCATGAGAAAGTTGGAACTGTTTAATGAATGAGTAATAAATTAAGGACATGTATGTATATGCCTTAAACTATGTGAAACTCTATTTTCAATTCACTGACAATCAAATTTACAACTATAATTTTTGTTCATATCTCTACGAATGTATACTTGGGTGGCTTTTATTACTTCAAAGTGAAAGATATGGTAAGTTAATTTAATTACAACATTCAAATTTTCAATTATAATTTTTGTTCATATCTCTACGACTGTTTACTTGGGTGGCTTTAATTACTTCAAAGTGAAAGATAAGGTAAGTTAATTTAATTACAATATTCAAATTTTCAACTATAATTTTTGTTAATATCTCTATGGGTGTGTGTACTTGGATGGCTTTTATTACTTCAAAGTTAAAGATAAGGTAAGTTAATTTAATTACAACATTTAAAATTTCAACTACAACATTTAAAATTTCAACTATAATTTTTGTTCATATCTCTACGAATGTATAATTGGGTGGCTTTTATTACTTCAAAGTGAAAGATAAGGTAAGTTAATTTAATTACAACATTTTACAATGGCAAATTTTATAGCCTTGAACCCATAATATATTCTTAGGAGGAATTGAACTTTCAATCTCCCATTTAGGATAGGAGGAGATATCATACCAATCATTCGTCATGCAGGGACGTATCTAGAAATTCATATAAAGGGGGACAAATTTATAAAGTTTTTTTTTTTTTTTTTTTTTTTTTTTTTTTTAAGTGAGAGCAATTTCAAAATTTTATGGATATAAATGCAAAAAAGTACAAATTTAGAGGTATAAAATGCAATAACAAAAAATTTTAGTGCGGCACGCAAATGCCCCCACTGAATCCACTGTAGATTCTTGCCTGCATACGGGTGACATGATCGCAATGAATTTTAGTGATGAGTATTTCAAAAACTAAAAATAAAAAATAATAATAATAATAAAAAAGCGGGGATCACTCCCGTGAATAAATCGTTGAAGTTGAGCTCATCAGAAGAAGTTTTGACCATTATTATTTGTGATATCAAGATTCTTCTTCAGTATGGAGAGGATTTCTCGTTGAACTGGATCTTAAAACACTGAAATACATAGATGGTCACTTCTCTTCAATTTATTAGAGGATTTGTGTTGACGTTTCTGTTTCTGTTTTCTTCTTTTTTTTGCCCTGGAGAAAAAAAAATTAAAAAATAAATCGTAGACATAGATGGCAGAAATATTAGCTCCTGTCAATAAATGACCAAACATATTAGGTAACCAACCCCCTATTTGGAACAATTCATCTTGATCACTCCATGAGGAGGCACAAGACAGAAATATATATATATGGACCATGATCATCTCTTATTGCAAGCACTACATATAAGTGATAGGACTACTCTATAATAGATCTCTATACAAGATAAATTATGTGCAGTACTTGTCAGAGTTTGACTTGGCTTATCGACCAGACTGAAATTGTAGAGAAAAACAACCAGTCAAAATTTCAAATTGGCCAATGTGTCTACCAAAACATTAATTTCTGCAATAACTCATCTTAATTTCTCCATTTCATGGCCCCATGCATGCCAAATTTTAAGACGAGATATATCTTCCATTGGCGAATATATACATGCAAGTTGAATGGTCCTTATAAGTCCTCAGTACTCATCAGACCCTAGGATTGTAGGGAAGGTGTAAAATCATGATAAACATAAAGCAGTAAAAGTAACCTCTACTCCTCCATTAGACATCTCCCTAGGTCTAAAATTGATCACCGGCCTAGTAGGGCAGATTCGACACTTGATTTGAATGAGAGCTTCAATTGCTTTTGTTACAACTTGAGATTAGTTCGGTGTACGAAACTCGATCTTAACAAGATTTAAAAGAGTTAAATATACGAAACTTTTTAAATCATAATTGAACAATCCTGTCAATGCCCACCCTCTTGTTTTTTATCAGGATGAACCAGGTGAGCAAATTTATGTCAACTCCAAAGCATAAAATGAAGATAAATTAATGCGGGTGAAGAAGAGTTGAGCGCCAATCAAATGTGTGCAATTACTTAGGTACATGATTGGTCATGCGCAATTAACAATTGAAAGCAATGGATGGATCAGTTTAACCACATTATGGGTTGGGCAGTTGATTCTATTGATGGCAAAATGTTGGGGTGGCTATTTGGCTCCATCTTGCCACGTGTCTCTGATAAAGCAATTTCTGAAAGACACATCAGCCAATCTTGGCGTTACTTTATATCTCATCACGATTCAAGTATCACCCATTTCCAGCGACTTTATAGCTATTTCAGAAAGATTACACATGATACGAAAAATGTGGTGATCAGAATTGATATTAGTAGCTGAATTGGAATTGGATGGACATTATAAAAACATGCTACTTATATTCCATGTCATAAAAAAGATATCAAATAAGATAAAAAGAGGAATTTGTATAAAAAGATCAGCAACCATCTTGTATGGGATAAAATGTTTGGCATTAAGACAAACAAGAAATAAGAATATTGAAAGTGAGTTTTATTAATTATGTAAAGGTGAGATTAGGAGTTAACACTTGACAGTGACCAAATAAGAAAAAATAGCTGTTTAAGTAATTAGGGCACATAAAGTATAATTAGGGGATTTATTGCATTTTACCCTAAATAAAATGCATGAATACTTATATGGATGTTGCGTCCTCTTTCATACAGTAGTTCGTGCTCTAGGTTGTCTTGTGCGAAGATGTTGATTTGTATAGAATTCATGCGAATAATAATGTTTGTCACATATCAAATAAGACGTTTTCCATTTTTCGATTATATATATTCTTATATGACGACGGTAGCAATACGTTCATTGGTCAATGCGTGCACCTCGACACCCATATTTCTTACAAGTTGGGTATGTCTCCCACCACTTATGCTGGAGACGAGAAAAAGCAAGTTCTCAACCTCAAATTTTCAAAAGAAAGAAAAGAAAAAGAGGCCAACAGTGATGTCAATTGTCAAATCTTACGATTCTATCCTCACCAACAAAAAATAAAACAAGATAAATTGAAGGGTCTAACAATGCTATCCTAACATTCTGCTTCTATTCATTTTTAGTGATAGTCTATATATTTTCTTTTTCTTTCTTGTTCCTTTTTTCTTTGACAACCTTAAGTTCAATCGAACTCAGCTTTTCTTTTTCACCTTCTTATGCATAATATTTCCATTTTCGTCACATGAAAAACATTTTTGATAATAATATTATTCCATTCGGATAAACATAGTTGGAATTTGACACCATTTGAAATTGAAAGTCGATGACCGTATAAAAATCTACACTTGGACCATGGTTTCCTATGATTAGTTGCGTGTCAAATAAGTACTTTCCATTTCCATTCCATAAGTACCAAACACCAAATTAAAGTTTGTCCAACATTTTTGGTATGTTTATTTTATTTTATTGTATTAATTTAGTGGGCCATGCCCATCATAGTCATACTACCAAATTGTATCAAAAGATAGAAGGGACGTTGTCACGTTGCTGTGCTGGTAAAAGTAACCATCATGGTAAAGGGGGCTGTTGTTGGAAACGGACAAATCATGCCAGCCTGGCTTGGATCAACTAGTACTATTATTAATTTATTGGTTGGGAAAATTGCACCACAAGTTAAAATGATTTGTCTAAAATTTGAACATGCTGCAATTCCAATTGGTAACAACACTATGTGGAACGAGAATCACGACTTATGAAACAGAGGTTGTTGATTTTGACACTTTCTTCTAGGGGCAAGGTGTAAACATGTTTTTGGAATTTATCCGAAATTTGTCATCCAAAAATACACATGCATGGGGGATCATTTTCACAAAATGGATAAGAAGATATGGCGGGGAGAAGAAAATTCCATGCACACTTTCCTATTACCAAATGTTCTAGAATGTGGAACATGGGCAATTGAAAAACACTTTCCTATTACCAAATGTTCTAGAATATGGAACTTTGGGCTATTGAAAAATTAACTTTGGATGCTCTCAAGGCATTGAGAGAAATAAAGGATTATATATTTAAGTCTTTATTTGACATTGAATCATATAAAGACTAATCTCAATAATTCACTACTTGCATCTAACTATTGTAGCATCATTATTATTAATTTTTTTTTTATTCTTTTCACTCCGTTTATTTAGATGTAAAATATTTTTATTTTTATAATATTTGGTTGTAATAAAATATTTATGAAGAGAAAAAAAAAAATTAAAAAATTAATTTAATCACTAATTTTCATTAAATTATTTTACATGTTCAGACTTTTCAAAATTAAAAAATACATATTTTGTGTTTCCTAAATATAATTAAATTTTTATTTTTATTTTGGTTAAGTGGTACAATCTCACTTCCCTTAATTCCATTGAACAGTAGGCCGCTGAAACATCAAAATAATTAATATCATTTATGGGAATATGCGCGTGTGTACTGTACTTAAAACACTCTCTCTCTCTATATAAATTGTACTTGAAAATTGAATTTATGATGCTGCTATCTACAGAAGTTTGTAGTCTATAATGGAGAAACTTAAAAATTCAACCCACAAAGTTGCGTTCGTATTTGGCAGAGACAGAACATGGCTTGCGTGGAAATCAAACGTCTGTGTCCCCACAAACTAGCCAACCAATAGATTTCCAAACTTTCTATTTATTTATTATTTATGAGAAAGACGGTAGCCAATGGATTTACCAGCACAATTTCAACGATCGCTTCGAAATATTCATATATATATCCACATATACCAGTAAACACACACACACGCGTGTATTCATACAACTATAAAGCTGTATAGTATTGTAATATAGTAGAGTAATAACTTAAAAAAGAAATAACTATATTTACCTCCTCTAAAGAATATACAAAGAACACCTAAATAGAAGAAACTCCTATCCCGTGTTTAATATTTACTTAAAATCATAAAATATCCTTAAAAAAATTTAAAAAGAGTATTTTATTTGTATTTTGGCCATACTAGAAGTACTCATTTATCACTTTTTCAAAAGCTAAACAATGATATATATGGTAAGTCAATATTATTTTTGAAATTTTAAGAAAAATCCATGTTATTTGGACATTCAATAGAGGTAAGTGTAATTATTGTCTTAGAAAATACGTAGCTCTGGGGATGGTTTGTAATAAGATAATTGAAAATAAAAAATTGTTAAAAAACGCCAATAAGGGAAGCTCAGATCCTCTGCGGTTCCCTCAGGTTCCTTTAAACAACAACCAATAATACTCGACACGTCACCCATCCAAATCTCGCGCCATTCCCCACAAAATCACTCCACCGAACCGTGACTGGCGATTAATGTCTGAACACGAAACAATTTTTTATTCACTTTAGACAAAAATTTGTGTGTGAAATGACGAAAATCACCCCTAGTTCAACAGTAACGTGGGTCGCTCCAATGGGATGATCAGAAGAACTCCCCGCCAAAGAAAAGGACCGGTAAGCAAAGATCGTTGACTAAAACACCCAATAGCAGGCTAGAAACCATTGAAAAGCACGAATACTTTTATTTAAAGTTTAAACTAGTATAAATGTATGTAGACGTACACATATATGTCATGTATTTATATATATATACATACAGTTTTGTCAAAGTAGTATCTAGTATGTGACGAACATGAGCATGAGCATGAACATGAACATGAGCATGAGCATGAACATGAACATGAACATGAACATGAACAGTGAGGCTAAAATACAATACTATAATTTAAACTAAAATAGTGGTAATAGAGGAAGAACAAAGTGGATATAAGAGGGGCAGTGGTTAAATTAATTAATTTTGTGGGGCATAATTAATTAGAAACAGTGTACGGAAGTGGTAATAGAAAACAGGGGTTATGAAAGGGTGAAGAAAAGGAAAGTGGTTTTGTGAAAGGAACGCTGAAACCAGAGGAAGGTGTGGTGACCAATTGATCTTTCACGGAAACCGAAGGCCCACTGGCCAACACCAAACCATCATCACCATTTTTCTATATCAAATTTATATAGATCTATGTATATATAAAGCCACCCAAGCCTTACTCTTCTCTCATTCATTCATCCCACTCCTTTGATCTTTCTGTGTGTGAGTACCGTGTGTATTGTTACTCTATTTATTTCATTATTTTACTTGGTTTTTTTTGTTCTTTTCTTTTCTTTTCTCTTCTGTGGTTTGGTTGGTTGTTTTGTTGATAATGCTTTTTGAAAGGTAAATTATATAAGGATATGCGTGTATATTCCGGTTTTGCAGGTGTTTTAAGTTAGTCCATATCAATATATGTCGGTGGCTGAAATAATATTGTGTCGAATTAAATTGTCTTAATAGAGACTTTGTTGATCTTGAGTTATGGAGAGAGATGGTTTTTATTTCTTCTTTCAGATTTCATTTTCAGTAGCTTTAGGAGAGATAATTTCATTTTCAGAACACACTAGAGAGACTAATTTGTCGGTTTTGTGAGATCTGGTAATTAAGACTTCGTAACTTCAAAATGGTAAATATTTTATTAATGTTAAAAGATTCCCGCAATCTCTTCGTCTTTCTTCGTTTTTATTTATTCTGTAGGATTATCGCAATCTCTGTTTAACTTTGATTTTTGTGGCAACTAAAATCAAAGTCAGAGGTTTCTTGGTTGAAAAGTTGTGGTCTTAATTGAACTTAAATTTAACATTTATTGCCCTGACATATTTGGATGGTGGACATAATCTGCTTATTTATTTACTGCCGGAGATTTGACTTCTCCGACGAGATTAAGGCGGGCGGAAAATATATTGACTCAGAAATATATATATATATATATATATGTGTGTGTGTGTGTGTGTGTGAGAGAGAAAGGAAAGTACTATACGGTGTAGAATTTTCTCACCAGCATTCCATTTTGAGGAGTTAGATGTTGGGAATACCATTCTAAGTTTGAGAATTTCTCAGCCTTTTTTCTGTATAAATAAATTCTCAGATGGAGCTGTAAAGCATTCATCTCTAAACCCTTTTCTCTTTGCTTCTTCTACTGCTCTTCCTCCTCCTTGTGAGTAGTTTAGTTTATGCTTTCTGATTAATTAATTTTCTCTGTATTGGGTCCTTGTCAAATCTTCCAATTTCATTTAACTTTTCTTTTTCTCCCTTCCAAACGGCCTTGCTACCAGATCAGCCTGTTCTGCTTCTTATGAACCAAAAAAAAAAAAATAAATAAATAAAAAAAAAATCATTAAATTTCTGTTCTGTCTCTCAGGAAAAAACAGAGAAGAAAACAAATCAATCATGTTTTCGTTTCTTTCTATTTCTCAGGTGTTTTGAGATAGGAAAAACAAACAAAGATTAGATCCTGTGTTGGTTGAATAGTCACTTTTATTAATAGTTGACACAGATGACATGTATTTGTTTTGATTTCGTTTTATCTGATATTTTAGTATATAATTCTCTTTGAACATTCTTATTTTTGTTTGGAAAGCTATTAATTCGAACTTTTCTGGTAAACCAAGCATAGTTTTGTATTTTAACTTGTTTTTCAATACTCTGCATTTTCCGAATAGAGAGTAGATATTAACTAGTTTCACTGTATCAAAGGTTTCTATTAGAATCCTTTTTAATTTGGGTTTCAATACTCTCCCACATCTATCCGTTTATGTTTCTCCAATTGAATCTAATTTTTTAAGTCACACATTAAATTATTTACCCAAATCAGTTACTTAACACATTAACCCTAATTAAGCTGTCAGATCAAGCATTAGTCATGGGGTTTGGTTGGTATGTATCTATTGTCCTTGATTTACGTTGATCTAATAAATATAAGTAGGTGGGCGGTTTGGTAGGTTTTGAAAATATGACATAGATCCTCCTCCTAATTAGGTGGCCTTTATTTTATTTTATTTATATTTTATTTTCTCATACTGCTTTTTATAAGTATAGTTTTGGATAAACCAATGTGTATGTATGTCTAACAGTTTGTCTCTCATTTGAAGGTTGTGTGAAAATTCGTAACCAGAGGACATGGCTGAACGTACTCTGACTCGGGTTCACAGCCTCCGTGATCGCTTGGATGAAACTATGTTTGCTCACCGTAACGAAATATTGTTGCTTCTGTCAAAGTATGTATTCCCTCAACGTTTTTCTGGTTAAATTTATTGTTTGTTATGAAAAAACCTTTTTTATTTTGTACCTCATTTATGGTTCTTTATTGTTAATGTTAGATAATTAGATCAGAATTGAGAATTTACATATATTCTATGTTTATGTGGGGGCTTCTTGGAATTGCAGGATTGAAAATCATGGTAAAGGAATTTTGAAACAACATCAGCTTATGGCTGAGTTTGAAGAGCTTCCTAAAGATGCCCAAGACAAATTGCATGATGGTGCATTCATTGAGCTTTTGAAATCAACACAGGTAAGCTTGATTGACACTTGAATTAATTCTTTGATTTGGGTTATACTTAAATTATAATAAACTGTGTGAGTGAATCTGTTAATTTTTTTTATAATTGATTGTTTTACAACAGGAAGCAATTGTCTTGTCTCCATGGATTGCTCTTGCTGTTCGTTTAAGGCCTGGTGTCTGGGAATACTTGAGAGTTAATACTCAGGCCCTTGTTGCTGAGGAGCTGACTGTGCCAGAGTTTCTGCAATTCAAAGAAGAACTTGTGGATGGAGAGTAAGTTTGAGTCTGGATTATTATTTCATTTAAGTTTTTTCTCTTTGCTTCTATTTTGTTTATTGATTGATGCTTGTTTTGATGCACAGCCGCAACGGGAACTTTGTTCTTGAGTTGGACTTTGAACCATTCAACGAGTCTGTTCCTCGCCCTACTCTTTCCAAGTCCATTGGCAATGGGGTTGAGTTCCTCAACAGGCACCTCTCTGCAAAAATGTTCCATGACAAGGAGAGCATGTTCCCACTCCTTGATTTTCTTCGAGTCCACCACTACAAGGGAAAGGTAAAATTGTTTTCCCTAATTTATTTATTACAATTTGATGATAGAATAATGGTAGAACCCAAATGAAAAAACATTGTTTTTCTTGTACAAGAATTATTGTTAAGTTTCAAATCTGTCCTAGAAAAAAAAAAAAAAAACATTGTCAAGATAGGAAATTCTTTATGGATCTCTTTAAGGTATTCTAGAACATGTTCATTATTGTAATATATGATATTCTGTGCAGACAATGATGTTGAATGACAGAATTAAAAGCTTAGATTCACTCCAATCTGTTTTAAGAAAGGCAGGGGACTATCTTACGACACTCACACCAGACACGCCCTATTCTGAGTTTGAACACAAGTTTCAAGAGATTGGTTTGGAGAGAGGTTGGGGTGATACCGCTGAACGAGTATTGGAAATGATCCATCTGCTTTTGGACCTTCTTGAGGCTCCTGATTCATGCACTCTGGAGAAATTTCTTGGGAGAATACCTATGGTTTTCAATGTTGTTATTCTTTCTCCCCACGGTTACTTTGCTCAAGATAATGTTTTGGGCTATCCCGACACTGGTGGCCAGGTGTGTTCATACAGAAAATTATGTAATCTTCATTTTTTTTTGGCATTATAATGCTCATAAACATTAACTTTTGTCTTTTGATTTTGTCTGTAAAGGTTGTTTACATTTTGGATCAAGTGCCTGCTATGGAGCGCGAGATGCTTCTACGAATAAAGCAGCAAGGACTTGATATTGTCCCTCGCATTCTCATTGTTAGTATTGCATTAGTTGTATTTTTTTTTTCCTTTTTTCATTGATTTGTTTGTTCTTATTTTTAATGCACTATGATGCTATTGTACCTAGGTTACTAGACTTCTCCCAGATGCAGCAGGCACCACTTGCGGTCAGCGTCTTGAGAAAGTTTACGGAACAGAGCATTCACATATTCTTCGAGTGCCCTTCAGAACTGAAAAGGGAATTCTCCGCAAATGGATTTCACGTTTTGAAGTGTGGCCATACATGGAGACTTTCTCTGATGTAAAAAGTTCTATCATACTAATTTTTTCTACCGTTTTCAGTGTTCTTTCTACAATTTATTTTGTATCAATTTTGTCTAACCTTAATCTTCTAAATTGTGCAGGATGTTGCACATGAAGTTACCAAAGAGTTGCAGGCAAAGCCAGATTTGATCATTGGCAACTACAGTGAGGGTAACCTTGTTGCCACCTTGCTATCTCAGAAATTAGGTGTAACCCAGGTTTGTGCTATAAGTATTATTCAAGTTTCTTTTCTTTATCTTCATTTTGCAACCAAAATGTTTTGTAATGCGTTTGCTACCTTTGCAGTGTACCATTGCTCATGCATTGGAGAAAACAAAATATCCTGATTCCGATATCTACTGGAGAAATTTTGATGAAAAGTATCACTTTTCCAGCCAGTTTACGGCTGATCTTATTGCAATGAATCAATCTGATTTCATTATCACCAGCACATTCCAGGAGATAGCCGGAAGGTATAACCTATTTTAAGTAACTATATAATTTCTGTGTCAAATATCTATTCTATGAGATCTAAACTTCTATCCATTACATTTTCCCAGTAAGAACACCGTAGGACAGTATGAGAGTCATACTGCCTTTACCATGCCTGGGCTGTACCGTGTCGTTCACGGGATTGATGTGTTCGACCCCAAATTCAACATAGTTTCGCCAGGGGCCGATATGTCCCTATACTTCTGTTATAAAGAGCACGAAAAGAGATTGACGGCACTTCACCCCGAAATTGAAGAGCTTCTTTATAGTTCTGTTGAGAACGAAGAGCATTTGTAAGTTTCCATTCCTTTTACTACTGCATTTTCCTCCGTGTGTTTGGATAACTGCTTACTGATAAGTTGTTGTCTTAACAGATTGGTGTTGAAAGACCGGAACAAGCCCATCATATTTACCATGGCCAGGTTGGACAATGTGAAGAATTTAACAGGACTTGTTGAGTTGTATGGTAAGAATGAGAAGCTCCGTGAGTTGGCCAACCTTGTTTTGGTAGGAGGAGACCGGAGGAAAGAATCAAAGGATTTGGAAGAGATAGCGCAGATGAAGAAGATGTACGATCTCATAGAAAAGTACAAGTTGAATGGTCACTTTAGATGGATTTCTTCCCAGATGAACCGGGTGAGAAATGGTGAACTGTACCGGTGCATTGCTGACACAAAGGGAGTTTTTGTGCAACCTGCATTTTATGAGGCATTCGGCCTGACTGTGGTTGAGGCCATGACCTGTGGTCTTCCAACATTTGCAACATGCCATGGTGGTCCAGCTGAGATTATTGTTCATGGAAAATCTGGTTTCCATATTGATCCTTATCATGGTGATCAGGTTGGTGACCTGCTTGTCAATTTCTTTGAGACTTGTAAGCAAGACCCTTCTCATTGGGACACGATTTCAGAGGGAGGTCTGAAGCGCATTCAGGAGAAGTAAGCATGCATAACAAGCTTTCATTAGACTTGAAATTCTATAAAATTATTTTGCGTAGTTAGGTAAATCACTTACTGATCCTTTTTCTTTGCTTGGTTTTGTAGATACACATGGCAGATTTATTCTGAGCGGTTAATGACACTGGCTGGGGTTTATGGGTTCTGGAAATATGTGTCCAAACTTGATCGTCGTGAGACCCGCCGTTATCTTGAAATGTTTTATGCTCTGAAATACCGCAAGTTGGTATGCTCCTTTGCCTATTCTCTTCTTTGTCAAAAGGATTCTTTCACTTCACATTAGGATTCTATTTTTTTTTTTTTTTTTTTTAAATGTTTTTGCTTTTATTTTTTTTTTCCTTTTTGGGGTTGGGCTAATGATGATCTTTGTTGTTTTCAGGCTGAGTCAGTGCCCCTGGCTGTTGAGTAGATGAAAGGAAGAATATTTGGGCTGGGGAAGTGGAAGTTTCTTGAGTTGAATAACTCTCACCGTTTGAGATTGTTGGAATTATTGAAGAGGCTTCTGTGTTTTCCTTAATTTTTTGCTTTCCATATTGGCAGTGCTTGAACATGTTTGTTTCTTTTTTGTTGTTGTCGTCAGTCACACTAAAAATGTTGACTTGTCGATTTTTTTTTTTGCATTCCCCTTTTGCCTTTATGAGATTTGAAGATTGAATATTATTAGACATTCTGAGTAGTGAGTTATTATATAAATAAAGTCGAATTTAAATTCCCACATTATAGTTTCGTATTTTTTTCTTTTGTTGTGTGTGATGGAATTTATTGAAATCCAGTTTCATCCATCTTTTTTATTGAGAAAAGTATTACTTGAAAGAGAGAGTTTACTTGGGATGTGGACAGGGTCTAATTACTTGTATGAGTTACTTGTGTTTTGAATGTTACCAAATAATATTCTAGTTGGACTCCATCCCACCTTATTTTTTCTGTGTTTGGATGCAACTATGAGCTAGGGACCAAAGTAACAAGTAACTAGCTATTATATGTAAACCAGGTTCAAGGAACAGAGTTATTGCTTTAGAAAAGACCTTCAATTCTGGTCACTTCAGTTCCTTTCAGGACCCTGTTCTTTGTCATTTTCTAGGCCAACTCTCTATGAATGAATGCACAAGTTAAGGCCGAATTGATTTCATATTTGGAGAAGCAGTGTTGATTTACAAAAACTACGCGAAACCCTTATTTCCTTTTCTTGGATAATGATGTTTTTATCTTGTGAATTAGTACCTTCATTTGTTCTGAGTTTGGATGAAAAATGGTGGGAAGCAATGTTGGTGAAAAGGGAGGTTTAGTTGTTTTATGGAATAACTCTGTCATCATTTGAGATTGTTTCACTTCAATGGGAGCCTATCAATTCTAGTGACAAGAGTTGAAATGTTGCTGTCATTTCTTACCCCCACCCCCCCACCTATTGTGGTTTGAATTTATTTACTTTTACAATCTGAATTGCTATATCTACAAAAATAAACTTCTTTTTTTTGACTTTGTGCATAAGAGTGGAAACTACTGACATGACTTTGGACTACTAGCACTTATCTAATCTACCATAATGATGGAAAGCAATACATGTAATAGTTATTCTACCTTTCCCATATTTTCATTTCATGGCTCATTAATTTAATTCTTCTATAGTTGCCACAATTTTGTTTATCCCCTTTATTTTTGTAAGTCGGTGCTATTGTACTTTTCCTCCTCCACTCATCTTGCATCAAGCCTGTTTTTTTTTTTTTTTTTTTTTTTTCCCTGAATGTGTTGATTTTGTTGAAGAACAGATGTTACAGTATACTACTGAGAAGAAGTGGCAGAAACCTCAGGTACACCCCAAGATCAACCAAAGAAATTCAAGAGCAAAGCTACAAACATAAGAAGTGAATGACAGGAATCAGTACCTATTAAGAAAATCAGACAGGGAGATGCCCAAGGTAGAAATTCCTGCAAAACATGCTTCCATAGCCTGTTTTAGGATGTTGCTAAACAATTTTCTTAGCCTCCTACGTTACCTAATGTTTGCTAAGCTTCTATGGGTACGTTATCCGGGCCTATCGATTAATTACTCCCCATCTTCTTAACTGTGTGCTTTACCAACTGTGTGCTTTACCTCCTTGTCAATGATGTTTTTTTCTAGCTTTACCGCTAAGCTTTGCATATTTTATCACCACAAAACATTTAGAGCAGTACAGTAATCCGTCTCTCATCTCACCTCCTAGCAAAAAACATAAGACACCTTGTGCAAGAAACAAATATCCTACAAGACTAGTATTGAAATCTTCAAGCAGAACAAATGTATATGTTCACAAATTCTACACTTCTCCCAAAAACTTAGTAGAACATATATAATGAAGACACAAAAAATTAATGCTAATATATACTATAATAAGGGAGACTGTAAACCAGATGGGAAGTTCAAGGATTAAATACCTACCAAAAAACAGAATAGTATAATAGTTATATAATGGTTATATCAACAAGAATGAAAAGGCACAAAATGATGTTGGGCCTAGGAGATCTTTTGCAGTACCTGACCAAATTGCAAATGAATTTCCAGAAAAGAAATATATATACTTTTAATTTCAACACTCACTCACACTCCTAAGCACTCAGTTACTACACTCCTAGTCTCCTACTATTCATATGATGATCTTCATTACAAAGTAAATATATATGAGTAAATGTTATGGATGACAAAATTTATCCTCAACCATCATCCAAAATAAAATAAAAATGAAGACAACAAGAGTTACTAACCAGCTAAAAAAAATGCAATAACAGTAATTCCAACACTGAAATTCCAATAATTATATTAAATAATGCTTCAAGTATTCAACTCTCCAAAGCAGTAGTTGTCAAGGCAAACGAATCATAAGCAAAACTTCTAAAGTACACAGAAATTAGGTAATGACTAGTGACAGTACTTATGCACCTTCCTTTCGTGCCAAAATAACTTGGCCACGGCTGCAAACACATGGGGATCATGGTGGCATCTTTTTTATTGCATCCATGCTCTTGACACTTAGGCAACATATACTGCTCGCTACTCTTTCAGCAGCCTCAGTCTCCTTCATCCAAGCTTCCCTGTCTATCGCCAATCCCTCCCTTTGCAGAGTCTTAATACCCCTTTCTATAATCTTGTGAACCATAGCAGTATTCCCATTAGCTTCCTCTAACTTTGCAGCAGTAATCCAAATTGCAAGCTCCTCCTTAGGGAGCTTCTCCCTCGCCTTATTAAGAACCCTCTTGGCATTATTATAAGTTTCCAGCCTCACAAGAGCAAGCCATAAGTCCACATTCAAGGGACAGCATTGAACGGCCCTCTGGAGCAAAAGCCTAGCATCCTCCTCCTCATTGGCAAGCTTCACAACCGCCTTCCAGAGCCAAACAGAATCAGGTATATGTTCAACCCCCAGTCTCAAGATCCTATTTTTATTAGCCTCATCGTCTTCTAACTTTGCAGCCTCCATCCACTTCACTGAATTGGGAATCACCTTCAAACCCTTGGCTATCAAAGCCTTGGCTTCGTCAGGACTTGCCAACCGACACATATCCAACCAAACACCATCATTCTTGGGGCACTCCTCACAACCTTTCTTTATTAACTGCCTGGCTGCCTGAATCTGACCTGCAATTTCCTCCAATCTCGCAGCTGCAATCCAACCATGAGGGTGCGTTGGATTGGTCTGAGTAAACGACTAAGCAACAACCTAGCTTTTTTGATAACCGATATCTCTATACGTATACCACCAGTAATGTTCAAAGTCCTAAGAAGATCGATCAGATACCCCATCGGATCAACAACAGTCAATCCTGTTACGGAGTCAGAAACCCTATCCGACTTCAATGATAACAATGTACCCAACGCAGACAAATCTGTCACATTCTTCGGATCCAGACTATCCCCCTCAAACTTGTTTTTCTTATTATTCCTCAATGAATAATAATCTCCAATTTCGGGAATACTATCCCACTCTTGCGCTGGCAGTGTATACAGTTTCCTCTTCAAATCCGCAAACTGTTCAGTGATGTTTATGTTAGAGGCCCGGTACTTCTCAATCTCTTGCTTCAGCCTCCTATCCTTCCTCCTGGAATCCATCCGCTCATCAATCGCCTCCCACATTGCATCAGCTTCCTCGTCATACTCTGCTGATACAAACAACCTGGCATCATTCCCCTCATACTCATCATCAAACTTCTGATTCTCATCATACCCCTTATCGTCAGCTTCCTCCTCCTCCTCTTCTTCCCCTTTTACCCGCCTGCGACCAACCCCGGCACTCCTGCACCGCCAATTGTGATGGCAGACCGATCAGGGAGGTCAGGGGTAGCACGAGCTGGACCAATATCAGACCGGGTGGTGAACCCAGTAGCACCACGGCCCAGTCCGGCAACGTAGTTCGCCGGAGGTTCAGTATTGAGGAACTCTAAACTGTTCTTAGGAGGCACGAGGCCTCCGACGAGAGGGATGTGTAGTGTGGAAGTCGAATTGGGTTCGACGCCGGGTTCAGAGATAGGGATGGAGTCATCGCTTGCGATTAACGAGCGTGGGGACAAGAAGCGGCGTTTGAACACCATAACTCAGTTCTGTGCTTGGGAAAAGAAGCAGCAAAATTAAGGTTTGGAAAACCTGAAACGAAGCCAAGCAACCGCAGAGCCTTGATATCTGTTTGTGGTGCGGGAGGATTTCACATAAATTGGTTTCGAAGAAGGATCTCTCAATCTCATATGATTGAATGGGTGAGATTTTAAAAAGAGTCTGGAATGGGATGGGATTTCATAGGGAATATAATAATAACAAATTTCGATGAAAATTTTGAGAATTTGACAAGGTGATGGATAACTATTTTAAGTTACTAAAATATAAAAAAATAAATATTTTTTCTAAATTTCAATTCATTCCAAACGTGAATAAAATTTTAATTTAATTACAATCTAATTCATTTTTCAACTCTAATTTTAAATCCAAAAAAATTGATTTCAAACAAATCCTAAGGTTTCCATCCTTCAAACTTATATTTTTCATGTCTTATTCTAAAATTATACAAAAAAATAATAATAATAAATAATATTTTTTTTTTCTAAATTTCAATTTATTCCAAACGTGAATAAAATTTTAATTTAACTACAATCTAATTCATTTTTCAATTCTAATTTTAAATCCGAAAAAATTTGATTTCAAACAAATCCTAAGATTTAGGAAGGGTAACTCTCTATATGCCTTCCTTATTTATTATTTTCTTAATTTTGTAATTACATGTGCAATTTAATTACATCATATTACTTAATAAATTAAAGAGTTTATATGGATAGCCTAAAAAAAAAATAGGTTTGTTATTATATTTTGGAGATGATTGATACATTTATTTATATAGCTTGGATTAGATAATTTATATTTGGATGAGTTTTAATTTTAAGTTGACAATAAAAAGGATGGGTCTAAATTATAGAGTAATGATTCCAAAATGAGAGTTAATTAATGAACTTTTTCACGAATTAACAAACTAAATTGAGGAGTGTTTGATATTGGTTTTATTTATTTTTCTTTTTCTACGCCCAGATCGATTTGGTTATTTGTCAAACATATATGCCCAGACTGAGTATTTGCAAGAGTCATATTTTGAAGCACGTGTATTACATGCTGATAATACACGCGTATGCATGTGTATTATGATTCGAATACAGCACGTTGTAACGGGTGTAATCAATTTCTTTTTTTTAGGTATTCACGCATTAATATGTTAGAAGAAGATAGTTACATGGGGATGAAAAATGTAAGGGTAAAGTACACTAATACCTCTTGAGGTTTGCTAAAAGGACACATAGATGAAACTTATCCCATTTTTGGACAATGATACCCCCTCAAGTTTGATACTTATACCAAAGACACCCCAATGATAATGAATTGATATTTTTGCCCTTTGACTTTTATATTGACCAATTTCAATATTGAAATTACCTATCTAACATTCTCTGCAAACCCATTCTTTCCGCAATGTAAACTGAATACTCTGTATGAGATACTGCCAGTTTTGGAAATTGATATTGGTTATTTTCAGAAGAATTTTGGAATAAAGATTATATAATGAACTTCTACAGGTGATGTGTAATTCATAGTAGCAGCATCAGTGAATCACAAATTCAAGCTTGATACAGGGTTTTCTCTTTACCTAGACCTTGCTGTTTGTTTTTTTATTTCAGTGATCACAGTTGTTTTAAGTATTGATGATTAAATTTAGCACGGTTTGTAGTCATAACTGTCATATGTATCAAATTGCCAAGATTGAAATTGCATGGAAAAAGATTTGAGAAGACCTTTTCGGTTCTATTGTGTACAGTAAACAGTAAAGTTTTAGAGAGATCGGACAAAAATGGGATCTAAGGTTGGATATGGTTTCGAACTTCCTTTTTTTTTTCTTTGTTTTTTTTTTTTCTCCAATCAGCTGTTAAATAAATGGTGCTGCTCATGAGTTTGTGCCTAACTCTGTGTGTGCTTTTTTTTCACCAATCAAATGAACTAAATTTAACCTCCAAGCTTAAATAAAAGTGACCTAACCAACAACGAGCTGGTGAGATATGACGAAGGACTGAATAGCTGTTCTCGTTATTGTGACATATCATTTGCAAGATTGAAGTAGTAAATTTTTAAGTGGATTCATTGATCCACATAATTTTATAGGATTGGGAGAGCAATTTGTTCCATGCCATCTAGATGATGGATGATTGTTTCACTGATATTCGCTTTTGTTGCACAAAGTATACAACGTCCAAAAGTTCCTCTTTCCAACACCAATAGTTTACATTGCTGACGACGACCTCAAACATTACACCAACAGATCCACTGCTTTGAGCTCCGATTGGCCGACGGTGGAATCGCTTGGTGCCTTCATCTCTCTTTTTCATTGCCTATTATACTGGCGAGATCGTGGCGGTTGTCAAGTCCGACAAGAACGTTGAGACCTTCTGTGGCCAAGTAGCCGCCATCATAGTTAATGAGGGCGACATCGGAACAGCCATCGCCGAAACGGAAGACGAACTCGACCAAACCAAATCGAAGGCCTCTTGTTCATCGTCAGATTTGATTCACCGGTGCGATTCATCCCGCTGTAGCTTCCGCTGCCTCCTTGTGTTTGTATATACATATATGTGTATATAAAGTATTGGAAGGGTGAAGGGGCGGCTGGTGTTGGCGCGGCAAGAGAATGCAGATGTTGTCTCGCCACCACCGTACTCATCCTTCACCGGACAATTTCACTGTCGGAGTATAGAGAAAGAGAGGAGGGGTAATTACAGGAAGGAGTAATATATATATATATATATATTTGCACAGATGGGTATATGTGTCTATATCGGTGTACAAAGAGAGAAAGGAGAAGGTCAATTAGGTCATTTAACTGTTTTTGATATTTTATTATTAAAATTAATCAAATGATGTAGGGTAAATTAGACCTTTCACACGTTTTTAGACTATGTTTGGCTGTCAAATTTAACAAGGGGGTGTCATTGTCCAAAAATTGAATAAGTTTCATCTGAGTGTCCTTTTGGCAAACCTCAGGGGGTGTTAGTGTACTTTACCCAAAATGTAATGAGTTGGGTTGGACTTGAAGCAAAAGTTGCTGAGTTAAGCACGGGTTGATGTGAAACTCGATCCAACTCGTTGAGTTGACCTCTATTCAGCTTTAGCAATATCCCCTTTATATCTAACTATCTAAGGATGTGTTTGAATAGACAGGGGAAAAAAGAAAAGAAATGATAGTATTAGTCATGAGAGAAAAGAAAAGAAAAGAAAGTATAGTAATAATTTCTATTAAGCTATGTTTGGTGTGAGTGAATGGAGTCAAATGAAGGTGGAATGGAATGCATTTGTTTCCATTCTCTTGTTTGGTGTGTTGCATTAAAAGTGGAATGGCCATTCTTAGGGAATGTCCATTCCATCAAAAAGGTGGGAATGCTCATTCCACTTCTTGAGAGGTGGAATGACCATTCCATTCCCACTAAGAATTAATAAAGTAATAAAATAATTTAAAGAGATAATTCTCGCATACACACACTATATATATATATATATATATATATATATATATATATATATATATATATAATATGTATCTATATGTTGTTTGTTCCCCCTCTCTCTACCTCGTTTATTTTTCCTCTCTATTATCTATTTCCCTCGTTATTCTTGTTTGGATAAGATAGAGGGGAGAAAAAAAAAGAAAGGATAGTAAACAAATTACTTTTTTATCCTTTCGTAACCACGGGACTTGAATGGAATAATAAATCTGTATATTGATTTGTGGAGATTAATTTTGGTATTATCAAAATACTACTTAAAATCACTGTGCTTTCTCTCATATCTTCTCAAAATTGAAGAGAAAACAAATAAGAGACCCAATCCTTCCACTTAACTTATCCAAACACAAACTTACACTATCTTTTCTTTTCTTCTCTCTCCCTATCCCTCCAAATCAACCCTACCAAACACACCCTAAGAGCATATCTAATGGCCGCCCATATTCAAAATATAACAATGGATGAAAATCTCTTCTTGGTTTTAACTTTTATCTCCTACGATATTACACAAATATATGATATATCTATATGTAACACTGGATATTCTCCTTAACTAGGGTTCCCTCCAACTCGTTCTCTCTCTTCTTGACTTGACCTAAGGTGCTTCATCTGATTCCTTATTAAATTCTGTTAGATCTGTACCAACAAAATTGGTATTCTTCTTCTGATCGTCAATCTTTTGTTCCTTTCCAATTAACCAAACAACCCATGATGTTTTTAGTTGGTTATTTTGCGTTTGATAGCAAAATGGCAAAGCTATATATATTTTCTATTTTCCTTATTCATATATATCAGAAGCAAAGTAAGTTCCTTCTGGATGCTATCAGGAAGGTACCTTATAGTTCAGGATTCGGTTAATTTTTTCCTTTTATTTCTCAATTTGGTCGTCTAGAACAATTTCAATCAAAGTTAAGAGGGTAACTTTACTTTTTAAAATTTAATTTTTTTCGAGTATTTTTCCTATTTATTCTGTTAATTATCTCACTGATTAGAGTCTCTGAGCAATATTTATATCCTCACAATGCTCTTGGTGATATTCTTTTGGGGTATAATATCAGTCTCAATGGCTGTGACACATAAATGAATGGTTTGGAGTTATTGAAATTTGTATCTTAATGACATCTCAAAATATTTCTTAGGCTGTAACAGTTTGAATCCTCAAGCTTTTCACCCTAATTTCTTTTTTAATTTTACTTTATTTGTTGCCTTGGGGTGATAGATTTTTTTGGAAACCCGTGCATATTTGTATATGTTGAAATTCAGGTGCATTAGGATAATTTTATTTATTTATTTATTACTAGAATAAATTTTAACCCAGCAAATATATATATATATATATATATATATATATATATATATATATATATTATTAATATTAGCTTGTCCAAAAATATATTAGCTTACCTCATTAACAATTCTTAGATTCGTCCTTAGTTCTGCACATCCTGAAGTTAAGACTCATAGATCTATTGAGGGTTCAGTTCGTGTGGGCATTCATTTCCATTAAAAAAATTTATTTTTGTATTTTATATCTCTAAATTTTTATTTTTTTAAAAATATATACTCATAAAAATTTGAAATTGCTCCACCGAAATTACAGAAAAATCCTACTATATAAATTCTCCCTTCCCCACAAATGATTTTTGGGTCCATCACTGGTCAAGACAATGATATATGTCAGGAGGAACTTGCTCCGAATGTTTTCTTAGATCATACCTTTTCGATTCAAATATATTATCCGTTCAGTCTTTTAGTTTGTTCTCTTTCACACTAACACACACACTACACATTTAAACTTAAAAAAAGTTCAAAACTAGAGTAATTTCTTGCTTCTCAAAATCTTATTTGCTCTTCAATTCTTCTACCCAAAAAACACATGTTTTTCAATCATTGGATTTAAAACAATCCCATTATGAAGCAGAACAGAGGTCTTTGATTACTGACACAATAGAACTAGAATGATATGGTTTTTCAAGCATTGGATTTATGTGCTGAAGATTCATTATGTAAATTGGAAAATAAAAGCAATACAAAAAGTCCTCTGTGCTTTAAAAATTTCAGCAATCAACAGAAAGGACCATGGTATATGTTTCATTTGTAATCATAACTATTTTTGTGGGTTTTTTTTTTTTTTTTTTTTTTTTGGGTGCCTTTGACATTCAATCGGCCAGTGGTAATTGGGCCAAACAATTAAACAAAGGCCTAGATCCAGTCCAAACCTGTAACGATATCAAAACACAAACTTTTTCACATTCTAGCCGTTTGGAAGGCTGGCGTTAAATGGCCAAAATTTTGGTTTGTTCTCTCTCTCTCTCTCTCTCTCTCTCTCACACACACACACACACACATTTTCTCAAAATCTTATTTGCTCTTCAATTCTTATACCCATCTTTTATCTGTTGTGTTAAAACAGAAAAATGGAGTCCCCCACCAGTACCATCAAGAGCCCAACAGATCAAACCTCCATAAATCTGAAGAAAACCCACCATCATAAGACGATGATCACATGTACTCTAGTCGTCGTCTCTCTCACCCTCATCACAATACTCCTCACTTCACTCCTCACAAGAAGACATCACTCTTCTCCTCCTACACAAACAAAGGATGGTCACTCATCATCATCATCATCTTCACCACTACTCCGTCCCATCATCTTCATCAAGAAAGCTTGCTCAAACACTCTCTACCCTTCTTTATGCTTCAACACCCTCTCTTCTCTTCCTCTCTCCAACATCAACTCCACAACCCTCCATCACATTCTTGAATTTGCCATCAATCGAACAATGAATCGGGTCGCAAAAGCTCGACATGTTGTGGGTTTTTTAACCCTTCAAGAATTGAATTCTCAGGAAAAGAATGCTCTGAAAGATTGCTTGGAGATGTTGGACCAAACCCTTTATGAACTTGGACAAGCCATTGATGAGTTGGTTATGTACTCTGCTTCAATGGGTCATCATCGTCATCGTCATCGATCATATGGTAATCTCAAAACCCTACTCAGTGCGGCCATGACAAACGAGAACACTTGCATTGATGGGTTCTCTGATTTGGAAACTTTAAAAGGTCAAAAGGGTGGTCACAAACAGTATCTCCAAAACTTCTTGACTCCTATCTCTCGCATGATCAGCAATTGCTTGGCCATTATCAAACACATGGAGACTATAAATCATGAAGATCAAACCCTCGACAATCAAAATTTGTTGATTAACAGGGTCCCAGAAAATGAGTTCCAAGCATGGATGATGACAAGTGATCATAGAAAGGCGATGAAAAGTGCATTCAGAATTAGGCCAAATGTTGTCGTTGCCAGAGATGGGAGTGGAAAATACAGTACAATTGGAGAGGCTGTGAGTATGGCGCCAAACGCTAGCGAAAACCGTTATGTGATTAAAATCAAGGCAGGAACATACAAGGAGAATGTGGAGATCCCCAGGGAGAAGGTTAACATCATGTTGATCGGAGATGGGATGAATTCAACGGTGATCACGGGGTCTAGAAACTTTGTTGATGGATGTTCCGCTTTCAATTCAGCTACCTTAAGTAAGCTAGCTAGCTGCATTTACGTTTGCATTTTCCTTGTAGAGTTTGTGCTCTAAGAATGTCACCACGTTTAATTTTCTTATGTTTTGATTCAGAACTCTGCATAATCAATCTATATAGGACTAACTGTGTCTTTCACCAAAATTTTTGCAGCTGTGGTTGGAGACAAGTTCTTGGCTAGGGACCTCACAATCATGAACACAGCAGGTCCCAGGAAGCACCAGGCAGTTGCTCTAAGAGTGAATTCCAATGCTGCCTTCTATCGTTGTAACTTCACTTCCTATCAGGACACCCTTTATACTCATTCACTGCGCCAATTTTATCGCGAATGCACAATCCAAGGCACCATTGATTTCATCTTTGGAAATGCTGAGGCAATCTTTCAAAACTGCCTCATACTTGTTCGTAAACCCATCACTGGTCAGAAGAACATGATCACTGCTCAGGGGAGAGAGGATCCTAATCAGAATACTGGCATATCATTGCAGAACTGCACCATAGTTGCTGCACCAGACCTTGCTGCTACAGAGAGGGGAAACGTTACGACATTCCTGGGGAGGCCATGGAGGAACTATTCGAGGACTATGATCATGAAGAGCTATTTGGGGGACCTGATACACCCACGAGGTTGGTTTAAGTGGGATAAATATAGCACTTTAGACACCGTAGAGTACATCGAATGCATGAATTTCGGACCTGGATCAGACACCAGAAGAAGAGTTAAATGGCCAGGCTTTACAAAGAATTGCAGTGAAGACATAGCAAGGAAATTTACGGTGGGGGAATTCTTACATGGTAGAGATGATTGGTTAGAGTCCACAGGTTTTCCTATTTTTGATGGTTCATAAACTATATAGGTCATTTAAGAGAACTACTGAAATTTCTCAAGAGGCTAGAATGTGTGTGTGTGTGTGTGTGTGTGTGTGTTTGTGTGTATATATATATATATATAAGGAACACAAAAAGAATGTAACGAAAACAAGATCAGCATTCACAAACTTGACATCAGCATCGTTCATTGACGCTATTTTTTTCTATTTCAATAATTGCCCCATTTTGCTTCAGGGGTTACCAGTTACTGGAACATTTACAGTACATAAACCAGCCTCAAGCCTCGCGGCTCTTGCAAAGGGAAAAAAATAGAAGGCAAGAGAAACCTTCTGTACACCGATGCAGCTAAACTATATACAGCTTACTCTTCACGTTTACTCTCCCGGTTACAAAAAACCGCCTTACATTACATCTTTGGTATTTCCTGACTGTACAATACAATGAATTCCCTGGCCACTGACAATTTAAGCACTTGAGGATGCCTTGAAACTACAATGTCCTTTTTGATCTTGTATTTGCTTTCTTTCTTTACTCTTCTTTTCTTTTTCTTTTCCCCTTTCCCCATTTTTGTAACTCTCATTTTCTCTGTACTACTTTCACAGCAGGCAAACTCGGACTGAATATTAATTAATAGTTCACATGAAGCACCGAGCCTTTCCAAGTCTTAACACACTGCATCTTAAACCACTGAATATTCAGCAGCATACCTTCTTCATATTCTGCCTTCGGTTACCTTATTGTGTAGTCTCTAATTCCAGAATGGTCCTTGTTTTTTGGCTTCTCATGGAGAGGCTCCCTTGGATAGAGAACTATTGCCAACAATAAAGAGAGAGCAATACCAGCAACCCCGCTAAACGGTTGGAATGCGTGAGTACCGGTTACCCACCGTGGAAAATTGGGCTGAGAGGTCAAGAAACCACCATGTTGTAAGACAAAACTTGAAGCCATTATCCCTGCACGCAAACCGATGGGGAGAGAGAGGCTACCCTGGCTTCTTTGCCGTGCCCCTGCCAAACCCAGTGATAACAGCCATAGTCCTGGTATCGCCCATGGAGACCTGGAGCCCATTGAAGGATAGGATTATGACATTTTTATCTTGCATAAAGTCAGGCTAGTCAGCACACTGAATCATAAATGGTAATTTTAATAAATTACAGTAAAGAATCAGCAGGAAAAACCTCTCTATACTACATTGGAATGAAAAAGCATAATCATCACAAAAAGTATTTTGAAATGGAGGGTGCCATGGGGGACAAAAAGAGCAAATGAATATGGGCAAACCAAGTGGTGGGCTGGGTGTGTGCATGTGTGTGTCAAACACAGATTTCTGAAAGGGCGTAAGGGAAGGAAATCTAGCATCAAGACCCCCAGTGATTCTAGTTTCTTTAGAATTTAGAAACAATTTCAACATATTCAGAACTGATATAACACTTGATTTGACTAATCAGAAGTGTTTAAAGAGAAACTTCCAAATACATGAGAGAGAAAAAAATACGCATGAAGGACAAAGGTAACAAGTGATTCAAAAATGCAAAATGAAGAACATACCTCTGAAATAAGGAAAACACAAATCCTGAAATGATAATTCCACGATAATATCCAAGATCTGCTGCAATTTCATCAGGCAACCATGACCTGAAAAGCAATTCTTCCACCAATGCAACACCTGTTGCTGTTATGAGTCCTTGACCAACTAGTATAAGCATTCGCCCATACACTTTGATCCACGTCACAGCATCTAAAGAAGATGATGGAAGAGTGGAAGGCCAAGATACACGAACACAACCCAGTAATGTATTTACAGAATGTATTGATAAAACAAGCATTACTCCTCCAATCAAACCCTTTAGAAAAAATTGGATCTGCAAGGAAGACACCAACATTAGCAGTTCTGTCTAAGCTGACTAGTGTCGGAAAAATGTTCACAATATTGAAGTCTTAAACCTCACCATGGACTTATAAGGAGAAAAGTAGATATTAATGACAAGTGTATTGATATCGACAACAAATTGCGAGAACAGCAAAGTTTAGGATTCATGGTAATGAGAAGTAGTTTCCAATTATATGGACTCCGGGTATGGCTTAGATAGGGTATAATCTTCATGAAGCCAGCCCCAAGTGAGGCTATTTGAGTTGATTGAGTAATTTTAAAAAGTGATTGTCAATAACCTGAATTCATGAGTCACAAAAAGTCTAAGAAAGCTATGTTAGTCCTTATTATATCAGATGGCACCAAGTTTTTTCTCCCCTTTCTGGAAGGGCCTTTTATTTCTTCAAATTAGAAGAGATTAAGAAAGGGGCTGGGTGGGGCTGTAGCTAAATGGTTCCCGGAGGACTCCACTATATCGCTGATCAACTAAGTATAATGAATTCATGCAACAATCACTGAATTGATTCTGAATACAAGAGTTCATTGCATATCTAAAGCTTGATTTCTTGACACATCCCGTCTGAAGAAAAAAGCACAGTAAAAAATTCAAACAGCCAGGAACATAGTTTCAATCAGCATTGTCCCACTACAATAGCCCATAACATTTAACTGAACAATATGTAACATGCCTACATGATATCCAGAACTTTTCTCCACTTTTTTCCTTACATGATACTTTAAGGACGTTGTCTTCATGAAAGAATAGAAATCCATACCTTTGGCAATGAAGTCAAATCCAGCCCATATTGCTGAAGCGGATCTTCATACCCTCGAATTCTTTTGCCCCACAACGTAACAAGTATCATAATAGAGGTGTAGAGGCCAAAAATACAAGCAAGCTCAGCAATTTTGCTGGAGGTATGTGTCGCCCAGTTCCTTACAAGTGTTGGAAGCAAGGGGACAACAACCGGTGACCATAAAACAAGAACCATGCAGACAAACCCGAGAATCCTGAGGGAAGAAAGTAGGACAGTAGAACTTAATTAGAATAATATCCAGATGCAGAATACAACCTCAATTAGAAAAGCATGAATGGTCAAAACATCTATAAAAAGAATAACAAAAACATACCCGATAAGTAACAGAAAATACAATTGGGCTCTGCTTATGAAAAAATGTATGCCATGTTCTTAATTAGCAGTTTAATGGCTACAAAATAAATAAATAAAAATTCGTACAGTTCAATTGACTTAAAGAATAGGGAAAAGGGAGATGAACTGTTAAGTATTTGCTTATATGCATATAAACATACAAAATCACAAACACAAAGTAGATAATACTTCAAACATCATAAAATTGAAAAAGATAATACTTCAAAGATCATATTGAAAAAATATAACATATATAAAAAATAAATAAATAAAAACTTAACAAAATAAAAAAGTAGAGAATACTTCAAACATTATAAAACTGAAAAAGATAATACTTCAAAGATCAAGTCACAACTAACAAGGTAGACACAGAAAGCAAAGGAAATTTTTTTTATATACGTATAACTGACCTCTGGGGTGGAAAATTAAAAAATCAATAGATTTGTAGATCAAACAAGATCCACCAAAAATCTCTCAAGATTTAATATCAACAAGAATTCTATGTAAGATCTAACCTATATGAAGTGAAGATTTAATATCAACAAGAATTCTATGTAAGATCTAACCTATATGAAGTGAAAATATAATATATATATATATATATATATATATATATGTTATGAGAAACGTAACAAACCCAAGATAGAATCAAGAATCACGACAAAAAAGTTAACACACCACACAAAGAACACAAACATTTATACGTGGTTCGGCAACAGCCTACGTTTTTGGATCCGGCAAAAGTTTTCACTATGTGTAAAATTGGAGATTACAAGTTTTCAGCCCCTCACTCTGTTTCTGTACGAATTTCAGAGTCTCACTGTTCAACGGGTCGTCGGGTCATAAGCGGGTCATAAAGCGAGCTGGCACCAAATTCGGGCCATAAAATCACAATATATATATATATATATAAATATTGAGAGCTTACCAATTGAATGAAAAGTCCCTAAATCATAATTCAAGATTTAAGCTGCTTAGATTGAATGCACTTGTTTACAGAACTTTTAATTGTTTTTTTGTTACTTTCAAATGAATGCACTTGTTTTCATATTTTCAGTTCACAAAGCAGGATGGGAGAAAACTCAGCAACATATTCACCTCTGGAACAAGGGGCGTTCAGCAAGACGCAGAAACAAAATAAGCCTGTCAGTCAAACTCATAGCACCACGAAAACCGCCCCAGAGCAGAGCAACTTTACCAACCAGCCTCAACATGCCACCCTTCTGTCCCCATTCTGCCAACATTGCAACCAACCTGCTTGCAGGAGGAAATTGGTAAATTAAAGAAAGGAGAAGAGAAAATATAAGTGGATGAAAGAGGGAATAATTCCAGCACCAATTAACCCGACCTTTCTTGATCCACTTCACCATCTTCTGTTGTAGGTACCACAGGACCAGCTACAGACATGGCTTTTTCTGCAAGGCTTGTGACTAGGTTATTTTGGCTTTTTTCAGACATTTCCACCTCAAGCTTGTCAGGCTCCGGATAACTTTCTTTCTTGAAGGAGACTGACAAAGTTTCAGCTGTTTCACTACCTTTACGTGCATCCTTCATGCACATAAATCACCAAGAAGTATGAGAAACACACAAATGGATGGAAAATGATGGTACAATCTACATGCAAGGTTATTATGAAGGGGTATAGTGCTGTTTTAATCACAGAATTTTATATGACTTCATACTCCTGTCCCACAAAATTTAAATTCTATGGGAAAAAAAAAAAAAAAAAAAAAAACACAAATTTCAAGAGTTTTTAGTTTTCCAGTATCACCCTCCCTCTGTTTGATGATATAATTGAATTTTTTTTCCCTTTCTGGTGAGTATTTAATTGAATTTTTACAAGGTAATGAGTGGAAAGAAGAAAAAACGTGAAGCTTTACTTTTCCCCAAATGCATAAATACTGTGGTAGTGTACAGAAAAGACTGAACAATGCGAATCTTCTGTGTAGTGGACACATAATGGAAGTGTCAACAGAGTTCTATCCCAGAAAACAGAAATTCACTGGACGCATAATGGAAGTGTCAACAGAGTTTTTTTCAGTATATGGTTTTCCTCATAACGATGGATGAAAGGGAGAATAGAGGGAAGGATCATTGACCAAATTTGATGCTTGGTGAAGCGAATTAAACATTGAAATTATAGGTATATTAATTGTTGCCATACATAGTGGATATTCATGCACTCATCTCCTCACCACTCCAAGCCATAGTTCTTATTAAGTTATTGTTTATAGCTTGCATAATATTTCATTCTTACATCATATACGTGTTATATCAGTATCTTTTTTTTCTCTACCTATTTTCAAAACATGTAAAAAATATACCAGAACACTATATTGAAAAATATGGGGAAAAAATTACACATGTATCATGATTTGACCACCATAAATATTATTAAATACATGGACACCAGATCGAGAAAGATGGAAAGCAGAAGAAAAAAGACGAGCCCTAGACAGCTTACTACACAAGAGTTGACATAATAAAGCTGCTAAAAAATCTGCACTAGATTAAAAAAAATTAAAAGATAAAAACTATATGGACCGAAAAAATAGGCACCTGTCAAAAAATAAATAAAAGAACAAAAAAAAAGGAAAGATAGTCACAGAATTCTTGTACCTGATTAATCAAAAATTCAAAATCACCCACTCAAGAACCTCACTATATAAAATAGAACTTCATATGAGCAAGTTATTGAAAAAAAACAAAATGATAATATGACAGCTTGAGAGAAGATATACTTGTTACCTGTTGATGCACCAGTAAAGCAGATGCCCCCAGAGCAGCAGAAACAGCACTAACCATGACAGCGTCATTGTTTAGATTTTTTGATTCAGCTTCCTCTGAATTCTGCAAATCATAATTATGATCAATCTTATCAGAAGGGAATTGATTAATCTCTATTTCATGGTGAACACGATTCCTTTCCCCAGAATTGACTTGATCAAGCACCAAAGCTTCATGTTGGCCATTGCCATTCACTGTGGCTACAATAAAGAATTTTCTCAAAGCAGCTAAGCAAGAGCCTACAATGACACCAACTGGCAGCAATCTTCTCAAATAACTGGTTTCCTGGACAGCAATTGAAATAGCCTTTATGATGTGCTCTCCATTAAGAGTGCCAACTTTTTCTGAAGTACAATCCTTACCATCCAAAAACAATACACGCTCCTTGCCACGTCCTACAGCCAGTGACACAGCATCTGCGATGAGTTCGAAATCTCTGGCAAGATCGGGTACCATTTCCTTCATGTCACCTGAACTTAGCTTCCGACCAACTTCAACATTCAAAGAATGCAATATAATTTTTTTAACCAAGCTCATTAACTCCACTGATGTATCACCAACCTCAACTTTTTGATTCAGTTCATCCACAGCCTCAGATTCTGCAACTGGTTCCTGTCGTTTTTCAGCATCTAATATTACATATGATGGTTCAATAATTTCACCTGTATAATTTGCTTTTGAAGTTGAATGAGCTTGAACCTTTATTTCAACACCTTCAAGAGTTGCACCATCACCAATAGGAATTTTACTGTTTCCTGGTTGTTCCAGAAGCTTCCATAGACCTTCTTCTGGAAAATAGTCAAGAAATAAAGCAGTAGTTTTATCTAAATCTAGTGGTTTGGTACTTGCCATATTTGACAAAAGATATTTTCGGAGGTATTCCTTATAACATGCGTCTCCAAACGGATTTGTAATCATGTATGGTTTAATATCATTGAAGTATCTTTTTGCCAAAAGTTTTTGACCACCCAAATGTTCCTTCATTTCATTTTTCTGCTCACCTATGTGGCTAGCTGTATCACTTCCTCGAGAACTATCAATAATGCTCCTGTCAAACGATATGGGGTGTTTAATAGGTTTCCCTTCTACCCATCTCGTTCTTGCATGATTCTGTAAATCCATTATATTACATGGAGGAGCATCTAACTTATCAGATGGTAGAATCATGTCGTCATTATTTTCTTCTCTCTCTTCCAACTTCTCATCACCAATGATGAGATTATTCTCAGACGGAAACACAGTTTTCTGGTCCTTGATCTCGTTTCCATCTTTAACTTCAATTTCTTTTTCTTTTTCCTCCAACTGAGTAATCATATTTTCAATTACACCAAAAACACTGTTAACAGCCACTTGGGTGGAATCATCCATCCCTGTCAAGGCATCTAATGCCTCTGAAACGCCGAAGGTTGGGGAATCAGGACTATCTTGATTCACAACAGGCTGCAAAGTTTTTTCTTCCCTTTTCTGATTATCACTGCCCTCCCTTTCTGTCAATTCGGTCTCAGGAGAGGATACTGGAGAGGAGTTTCCTTCCTCCTTGGTTGAAGATATTGTTTTATTTTGTTCATATGAAGAATCTGTAATATTTTCTTCACCTGGCTGTATAGTATTCTCAATAACTACCTGGTTATTATCAAATTCATTGTCATCCTTCTTTACTGAATCACTGATATCACTACTGTGACTACCTGTTGATTGAAACTGATCTTTATCAATGGATTCTTGCAAATTCTCAGAAGCCTGAAGCTCTGGTCCTACTCCCCCAGCACACTTATCTGTGTTAGGTTGATTCTTATTAGAGTCATCTGCCAGGTCATTAACCCTTTCCTGCTGCTCTGATGAATGAGGATCTTCATGCCCACCTTCTGTATTGGATAGTCCTCCGCCTTGTTCTTGGAACTTGGGATTTAACGCTGATGCCATATTAGGAATCTGACTGACATTCAACAGTTTGTCAAAATTTAAATTAGTCCCTTGGTTATGCAAAATTCCAGAAACAGCAGATGTAAGCTTTCCACGAACATCTTCAGGAACAGCATCTTGCAAAGCTGTCATTAGTGTCTCTCCTTGACCCACAGCAGTCAGAACCTAGACATCAATGGCAAATAATTGTGATTATATATTTGAAAAAAAGGAAAAGATTAGACATGTTTTGACAATGTAATGAAATGCTCTCTCTATTAAGTAGCACTAGCAAAAACGTGTTCTATACCGTGGCCTCATATAACAGAATTTTTTTGATGATATGGAAATACACAATCAAGAAGCACATACTAATACTTAAATGGCAATTTATTGTTCTACAGATGTCATTCACCGCATTAATGTCATGAATACCGGCAATTCTATTTTTGGAAAACAAATAGACAAATCCTACTTCTTGTTTCACCAAGTAAATCTCAATTGCACGCCAAAAGCAGTGTGATAACACCCGATAGAAACAGAATTGATCCACTTTTAATTTTCCTCTACAAGGGCAGATCTCTGTGTGCTCTAGGTGCACAATTCTATAAAAGCCACACAAATGATATTATAACAACAACAGGAATTTCTCCAAGAAAGGTATAGTAGCACAAAGAAACTTAGAAGAGCTAGCACATTCTCACAACTTGTGTTAAAAATTTATCCACTTTTAATTTTCCTCTACAAGGGCAGATCTCTCTGTGCTCTAGGCGCACAATTCTATAAAAGCTACACAAATGATATTATAACGACATGAATTTCTCCAAGAAAGATACAGTAGCACAAAGAAACTTTGAAGAACTAGCACATTCTCAGAACTTTAGTTAACAAATAACAGTAACATACAGCTTATGAAGCTACAGAAAGAAGAAGACCAAAAAATAAAAATATTACCAGTGTTGCTTCAACTCCAACCCATGTGACATCTTGGAGGTGTGCACAACTACATACACACCCTATCAAGCTATTGTTTGATAAAACTGAAAACAAGTACTGAAAATTTTAAGAGCTGAATTTTAAGTGCTGAATTTTGTAAGTGGTAATTAAAAAATAAATGTTTTTAAATATATTTTTGAATTTTTAGTGTGCAGCATTCGGTGGTAAGTGATGTCCCCGTCACTTAAAATTTTGCCTCATTTAAAGTGGCGCTTACCGTTTTCAGTGATATTCAAATTGCGCCACCAAATGCACTTAACTGGATAAGCACTTAATTCGTTCAAAATTAAGCGCTGAATTGAGTTTTCAAACAGCATCTAACTCAACTAAATAATGCCCTGCCCCTAATATTTGGATAGGTTACATTAATTCTATTTTTAAATTTTGCTCTATTTAGAGTCACTAATTCAATCGTACTACATGTTACCATGTCTTGCTATCCCAAACCAAGTTGGTTTTGATACTTCCCATTGCTAACAATTATATGCAAGTGGACCATCATGATTTCTCATTGGTGCAATTATTAGTTTCATTGTACATCACCAAAAGTTCTTCATCAGTTTGTTCTAATTCTATCTCCAATTCGTACTCTCAGATTTGAACGTGTTCGCACACTTAGCAGCCCAAACATTTATCATTGCACCAAAGCAATGGCCCCAAGTCTTAAATAACATAAGCGTACTAATTCATGAACTGAAACCATAATGTATTTACATTGTTTAAGCACAAACTGAAAATTCTCACAGTAGTACTGGGTACTTGTTCTGTTATAATGGTATTCACAAGGCACAGATGATAGGCCATAGGCGGTAAATTTTCGAGTGCATTTGGGTCTGAACTCTGGAGAAAACAGGCCTTACGTTAAATAATTATATAAGTCATATGCCCACTTCAAACCAACAAAGCACTTTACCAAGACACCAAAAATAAGGGAAACAAACAATTCATAAGCATCACCTTCTTCTTCTGTTCTTCCGACAGAGTGCCAGGCATAGTTACATCAAGCACATTCATAACCACTTGTGTCGTCTGTAGTACTTTGCCTGTTTCACTGTCTACACTATCCATAGGACCAACTCCCTCTTTGACTAATTCTGCATCCACAGAGCTAGTCTGCTGTACCGCACTATTGTTCTCTTGTCGCAGTCCTTTTTCAAGTTTAAAGTTTATCTGTAAATCTCGCTTGAATCTTGAAGGGATGCTAGTTGTGATGTCACTTCCTTCAAGCATCTCCTTCGAAGGCACTACCGAATACCCATTTAAAGCATCTGATTGGCGAAGATTCAGGAGTCTGTTTATTGTGTCGCTCTTATTAGATGCTCTACCTTCTGCCAGTGCAAAACCTTTTGAAGGATTGATGGTAACATCTACATCTTTCAAAAGAGGATGACGACCTTTCAGAAGTCCAAGCTCCACAGCAGTGAGCCACTGCATGTAGACATTTTTAACTCTCAAATCAGGCCCAACTTGGATAGAATACAAGGCAAATACAGTACAATGGAATAACTTTCTTCCATGATAATAATATATAATCCAAGTCGTTACCTCAATGGTGAGGTGCTGGCACCATGATATGGTGAATCTGTCACTTCCAATAACTGTAGATGGGAAACAAGAACACAGGAGCAAGCTTGTAAATGGATTTTCGGCAATCAAACTGTGTGGAATAGAGAATAGAGGCACTGTCCCTTCGTCAGTCTGATAAAATAACAGAACTCTAACATGTCAGATATTCATTAAGGGGCAAAAGGTCATGTAAAGCTAAAAGTTCTACAAATAATGATGACAGGTGGATGATAGAGTACTGTTTGCAAAACAATATTACACACGTAGTTTATGCATGCACAAGCATAAGAATTTCCTCAAACAATTAAAGGTAGAATCTTCTGAACATAGAATTCATAGGCAAGCCGCTAAAATTCTTTCCCAGGGAGAGAGGATTCATAATTTGCTTAAAACCTCAAACTAAAGTGACATGGTTGACTTTCAACCAACACACTGGTAATAAAAATGCAAAGTATGTACATTAACACATGAAATCGATAGTACTATGTGCACGCAACAATGCATAAAGCAGTAATATTTTAAGATAGAACAGCACAATGGAAGTATCAACACATCCATACAAGCATCTCTTAAAAAGAAATCACAACGCACATAAATTTTTTTAAAACGCATGACAAGAGCGATCTTGTTAAATATTCAAATGTAAGATGGCATAAGAAGTACAAAATATGCAACTATATAAAGAGTACAAGGAAACTTCCAATTCCCAAGCACACCTTGTGTGCTAGGTTTTGTTTAGAAATCTTAAATGGCATCAAATTCATAGTAGATACAAAGCAGAGCGTCCACGTGCAAAGCACAAGTGATGTTGCTGAAAATACAAATGCAGTATAACCAAAATATTTGCACAAGTGTTCACCTGTATAAAGAGAACAGGAATTTTCACATTCCCAACCACAACTCGTGTGCTAGATTTTGCATAGAAATCTTCTATGGCATCAAATCCATATGACACCATAGATACTTCTCTCTCAAAATCACGAACAGATTTTGCCAATAGAGCCTTTTCCACATCAAACCCTTTTCCCCTACCATGAAATAGCTCCTGAAATCATCAAATAAACACTATGCAGCAACTAAGACAGTGATTATATTAATGACAAGTACTAAATAGTTGACCGTTAACCCAACTCAAAGCATACGGCATACCACATCTAGCATTCTATTTCTTTTAAGATAAAGGATCTCTTTTCTTACAACAAAGCAGATGTAGCATGTGTATTGAACACATGAAAGTTCAAAAGAATAACCAACCTTGTTAGATCGCAAAATATCTATCAAGCCACTCATGAGCTTCTGATCAACAGAAGTATAATGAGTAGCAGACTTTGTGGCCTCCTCTAAGTCAAAAGGATTGTCTATGCATGTGGCAGCCGTAAGAGGTGTTTTCTCTCCAACTTCTGCTAGGTACTTTGTCAACATGTTTGCACCATAACCCCAGCCAACACCCATCAATGTTGTCCATGGTCTTTCCCTTTTGACGAACTGTATAGCTGTGCGGATATCATCGCTGTCAGCAGCTGTAAATAACCTACATAAATGAAGTGGTTTAAGATGTCCTACTATCAGCTTGTTTTGCAAGAAAACCCCAAAAAGGGATCAGGAATGCAACAACCTTCTCATCCAGGAACCTGAACATGAAATTGGTTTTATTTTTAAACAATTAACATAAAACCAAAGATGCAAAGCATTACATATCTTCTCAAACACAATGTCAGAAAAACTGATTAATAGAGGTACTACTTGATTGCACATTGCACATAGGCGTCTTTCTAAGCGACAAAGTCGTTGCTCTTTTACTTAAAAAGAACAAATAAATAATTTTACATAATGCGACCAAATGGTACCTAAATTAACAGAATATTCATTCACCGAACCGTGAAAGGCAACAAAGCCCAATATGTTAATCAGATGGACTTGAATCATAAAGTACCAACAGGGATGTAAGCAAGTTAAGGTGCAGGAACAAGGAACATTGCCCTTTATGAGGTCCAATAGCTAAAAGCATTTTAAGTAACCATACTTTCATATAATACATACATACATAATACAATGTCCGTGTTACATTTATGCTACTAAATATATAAATAAAATTTTGTCATGAACATCTTGATAATATGAATGATACACAACTTTTTGTATAGTTTTAAAACCAGATTATTACATGTTCCTAAATCTGGAACGTAAATATAAGTTGTTATTAATCTATTTTAGCAGCCAATTGTGAGCATAACAAACTTTAGAATGTCATAGAAAATTTGCTTTAAACTTGTAACAACCCTAACCCTACCTAGACACAATATTGTCCGCTTTTGGCTCCCCCGAACCAGAGACTTCCCAAGGGGTCACCCAGGTACTACTACAGGTTAAGCACGCTTAACTCCAGAGTTCTCTTAGGTTCATGGCCATTACAGTTTTAAAACACGTTGTGTCACAGAAGGGTATTGAATCTACATATAGCACTGGCCTTTTCCCAGTCAATGTGGAATTGTGCACCTATCGCTCGCCCGGTGTGGTAGTTCGCTAGCGCCTCGCACCTGCCCACATAGGTTGCCACAAAACTACAGGCAGGTGAAGGTAGATTCTCCTAGATAGAATTAAACCCAGGTCAACAACCAAACCCATCAACCAGCAGAACAGAATGCTAGTGTAACAGATTTGTAAATAAGCTCCATCAAGAGCCACGTGAGCAATCAAATAAGAAACAGCAGCTAGGCCGAAGCCTAATATTTCCTCAGGCTAGCCCTAACTAGCCCAATGTCCCCTTCCGTGCTAGCTCCATGCTATCGTACAAGCCTACTCAGTAAGCCATATACATAGTACCATAACAAATAACATGTGTTATCATCTTTTGTGATTTTTAGTGTTTGTATTACTGAGACACTATTATTAAGCATGAAGTCGTGCACTGATTTTTACAACAATTCTACATGAACCACTACTATCAATATGTGAGAAGTTCATATCTAGGTGACTGGGCAATTGCAGCACCAAAACAAGAAGAAACTGTGATTAATTGCAGTTGAACATCCATGAGCGTAAAAATTTGTTCCCAGAAAAGTTCATATCCATGTGACCAAACAAATGCAGCAACAAAATTAGAAGAAACTATGATTAATCCTACTTGAACCGCTATCAATATGCAACTTTGTTCCTGGAAAAGTTCTTATGTATTTGATTGAGCAATTGCAGCAATAAAACAAGAAGAAACTATGATCAATTCAACTATCGCTATCAATATTCAAATTTGTTCCCGTAAAAGTTGATATGTATTTGATTGAGTAATTGCAGCAACAAAATGAGAATAAATGATGATTAACCTTACCGTGGTGTGGTGAGTGGCGAACCAGCACATCCCCTAGGGTTCATTACAACAGGAAAATAACCATGCTTCAAGCATTCAAACACAAACGACCGAATATTCCTATCCATACTCCCTTCAGCTGTTCCCGGAATAAGCAAGAGTGTTGTATCCAATCCATGCTCATCAGTCAAGTCTAAATTCGCCGGCCAGTCCAACGAAATTACTCCTCCATCATCAGTGCCCACACACTCTCTCTGATACACTAATCTCTCCTCCAACAAATTCTCTTTCCCATCACGTTCTCTCACTTGAATCATCCCGGTGTTCAACCTCACAAAATGTCTATCCTCCTCCACCAACTTCTCATTCACATCCTCCAACAATTCACCTCCCTCAAACAATAGGGAGGGACACCGTAACATCACGAAGCGATTAAACGGCGTCGGACTCGTGAACAATATCCACTCTCCGATATCACAAGGTTCAAAATTTTGCTTCGGTTTCAGGCGAGATAGATACAGAGCGAGGCCGGAGGTAAAACCGAGCGCCGGAGCTAACAAATCTAATGAATTCACAGAAGGAAACAGAGAAACCACGTTTTCAAATAAATTATCGAATGGTAATGGACCTAATTGATTGCGAACTACGAGGGTTCGATTGATTTTGAATCTTCGTCGCCTCCATTCTCGATATTCGCGGATATTGAAGGTTCTTTTTAGGAGAATTGAGAAATTCCGAGGAGGTCTTAACAGAGAATTTGGGGGAAAGTTAAGAAAATTCGATTTGAGGCTCATTGGTGACCAATAGATTTGTGCGTCGTTGAATTATTCGAACTTGATAGCTCAAGAATCAAGATAGAGAGCCATGTCTGAACCTGAAAGAGAGATATGAGATGAAGAGTGAAAGCTCCAGAAGCAACGAAACATTAGAGAGAGAGAGAGACAGAATGTGGACCGTACAAAATTGCAGAGGTGAAATGGTGAGCGGTCCTTCGGTGGGCTCAAAAAGTTGAACCAACGTACGGCAGGCACGGACTAAGAGGGATTGCTCGGTCCCACCGCTAGGGACGGGTGCGATCCACTCATTGGACTGGCTTGCACAACCATTATGTATGTGTTGCGTGGGTTGGGAAATTTGAAATGTGCCTGTTTCTTATGGGGCAAAAATTGAACGAGCGAGAGAGGAAAGAGGTACAAAAGAAAAATTACGTAGGATTTATAACAAAAAGAGTCAAGCATGTTTTATAAATGAAGGTTTAATGCTGATGAAATTATTTCAGTTTACGTAATACTACGTACCTTATTTTTGCACAAAATTCATGAAGTTCATTAAATACAAATTACTTTATTCGTGGATTCAAAAAATTGTGTGAGAGGCCGATGGACAATAGTAAAATTTTGTTTTTATAATATTAAAGGAGCAATATTAAAATTTTATCCGTATATAAATTTTTTTTAAAAAAAAATTATTACTATAAAATACTATAAATTTTTTTAAAAAAAATCAGTATGGACAATGATAGGGTGTATATGCTTAATATAAATAGATACACTTACACTAACACTAAAAAAAAACAAAGCAATCATGTGTGAAAAAAGTGAGGAGAGTTTTAAAAGTTTAAGGGAGTTGTTTTTAGGGTTGCATACGAGCTGAATTGAGTAATGGTGTGCTCGAGCTCAACTCGGTCAGGTGATAGAATGTTCAAGCTCGACTCGAGCTCGAGTCGAGAAAATTTGGTTCAAGCTCGGCTCGGCTATGTTTGACAAGCCTCGAGCCGTGCTCGATAGCTCGTTTAATTTTTAATTTTTATTTTAATTTTTATTTTTTTGTGGTACTTCACATCTAACGGATCGTGAAAAAAAAATAAATAAATAAATTTGAGAAAGAAATAGATTTGCAACAATAAAAAGAGAGAAATTTGAGAGAAAAATAGAAAGAAAATGATAAAGTTGATCGAAAATTAAACTTATCAGAGTTGATTTTGATGCAAGAAATTGAGAGATGCACAGATTAATAGTAAACTCCAAAATCTAAACTCAAAATCAGTTTGGATGAAAGATGATTAATACATAAATGTGTTGCTGTTGCTGTTTGATGGGATGATAAAATATAAAAAGAGAAAGAGATAAAAGTAAGATTCCATGAGAGAAAGCAGATTGTTGAGTGTGTTGAGAGAAAGCAGATTGTTGAGTGTGTTGACTACTAATAATTTTAGAAAAAAGGAAGATGATTAGGGTTAGACATAAGACATGGGCTTGGGTTTGATTGTACAAATGAGCTTGGTTTTTTTTTTAAATGAATAAATAATAAAATTAGGTCTAAAACAAAAAGGACAAAAAAATTTAATGTGTCAATGGACTAAGTCTTCATAACATAAAATTATATATTATAATTGGATATATATATTATAATCATGTATGTGTTTTATCGAGCTCAGTTCGTGACCGATTGATGAACAAATGAGTCGAGCCTATTGATGTTCAGACTCAGCTCGTTTATAAATCGAGCCGAGTAATTCACGAGCCGAACCCGAGCAATTCGCTAACGGCTCGGCTCATTTGCAACCCTAGTTGTTTCAAATTTGTTGGGCTCGAATGTGAGTTATTTCGAGTTAATTGGACTAAAAGTGAATTTTGTAATTGATTGGATCAAGGTGTATTACATGATTTCATGAATGTAAGTGCAACTTTCGTAATAGTTTCCACGTCAAAGAGATTTTAACTATTTTCAAAAAATGATTACATACTCTAAGCTTAAATTATTGCTATTTTGATTATTTTGTTGTAACAAAAGAAGGGAAGAGATAATGAGATGCTTTTATTTTTCTTTTGTTTCTTTGAAATTAACTGGTCTCAATGAATAACCTATTTTGTGATAGATAGTGCAGGACGCTAGTATGATACCGATGACAGCAACACAATTTTTAGTGTGGGTCGTCACTGGTCATAGGTGGGTGTAACAAAAGTGGTGATGTCGTAGCTCAGGTGGTGGCCATCAAAACATGCTTGATTGGTTTTAATTAGGAATTATGGGCTTCAAAACATGCTTGATCACTTTGGAACTTGGGACTATATATAAGAATGTCCAATTTCTATTCTGACCCACTGAAACAATAAAAATATGAACACTTTCAAGTGGTCTAACTTCTCCAATTTCCACTTCACAAACATACCCTTAAAGTTACATACATACTTTCATTAGGCCCAAACCCCATGAGTAACAACTAGGTCTCTGTGGCCCATCACAGCTCGGAACCATCATACAACATTAAGATCTAGCCTGAAAAAGAAAAAAAAAATGGTCTACTCTCTATTTTCTCCCTGATTTTAACACTCCATACCAGAGTCCAGTCACGAGTCGTGTGCTCCGATCTGTGTCTTCAGAACTATACAACTTCAATGTGCTAGGTAAATTTGTGAGAATGGTTTGAAGCCATTGTATCATACATAACTTTTGCATCGTAACTTTCATTTACCAGTATATCAATATCACAGTATTTGACATCAGTTCATTCTTGTACGTTGAAGGTAAATGGCAAATTTCAAATGAATTCTTTTTGCCCATCCTTATTGTTTATGAGTCAAATACTTCCTTCTCTATGCTAGAGCTACATTTTGTCGTCCTATGACATTACAAGTTACAACACGCACCTTAATTTCTTACCTGCAAATGCATACTTCAACCAATAGATGTCGAGAAACGAGTATAATCACTAATTGTGGCTAAAATAGAACACAAGTACTGATCTTGTGTGTGGCAAAATTACTAATAAGATCTTAGCAGTACCGCTGAAACCTTTTAACTGGTAATTCTTTAAATTAAAAAAAAAAATTATGGCCACATCGAGACTCAAATTTTGTGATAGATGCTCATATTATCATGTCAACATCTTAAATATTTTGCGAATTTCAACTCATAGTGTCGTCATGCCGTATTACTTATCCACACTTGAACAAAGCATGTGCAGTATTTCTACTTTGGTTGTCATGTTATTTTGTTGAGGACATAAAGAGCGTTACTGAGCTTTCCGTCTACTCCCATCAAAACTCTATTTTCACTGCCTCATACAAGACATTATATCCAATTTATGTCTCTTCATGGCAAATCATACGTGACACACTACCAAACTAATTGATGGGATCGTTAAGAGGATAGTCTTTGAGAGGCCAAGGAGGGAGGAACGTCTGGTCTTTAACACCACCAAACTTTAATTTAAAGTTTGCTGACTCATTTAGAATTTTAGATACACTACTTAAATGTTTGGCATCTACGGCACGGGTATTGTACTGCAATGAATATTTCACAGTGCACATGTGACTGTGGGGAGTCTCTTGGAAAACACCAGAAATGAGAAGGGTATTCTTCAACCATGCACTTGCGCGTTGTCCATTGGCAGGATCTAGGATACACTCGGTATAATGAAAACTTGAATGTTATAGTATTTGAGTACTGAATACATATTCTAGCCAACTCGAATCATAAATTTAGGATTGTATTACACTAAGTGATCAGATGTTTATGGCATGATTGAATCACCTGAATAATTACACTCAGTGTACAAGTTTTGTGTATTAATAATATATTCTTTGTTTTCTTTTACTATAAATTACCCACAACACAAATTAGTAAGCTTCACCTAACTAGGTTAATAATGGTCTATGTGATCTAAAAACACTAACCACGTACATGCAAAAACAAAACCCTCAAGAAATCAAGTGCAGTAGATTGTGTTGATTTGCTCTCAGCTGCAAATCCTGCCATGATTGGATTGTGTTTTCAACAGAGAATCACATAATAGAACAGTCCAAAAACAAGCATATGATCCATTGATTTTGACGAAAACCTGTCCCTTCATGAAACTATCACTTTCTATTAAACATGTATTAATTAGATAATATAATTTTTTTAACAAAATAGTCTTAAAGGAATCTTGAAGACCTTCCTCTCCCATACTTTATTCCTTTAATTTATACATTAATCCCTTGTCTTTGTAATGTCCTTCCAGTAATATTTTTAATATTTCCTTAAGGGAAGCCCTCTTGAAGCTAGGGAACAAAACAACGCGTGGAGGTTGGTTGTAATAATTAAATAAAATCACATTTAACTTTTTCATTAACACCATCAATCAACAAAATATATATTCATCAAATTAATCAAGAAGATGTAGTTGGCAGCTGATCACTTCTTTGTGAGTTCATTGTATGTTCTAATCATTTTGAAGCATATAATTAGCGTGTTTTTCGAATTTATTGCTTAATCATTTTCAAGCATAAACCAATCCGAAAAATAAAAAATTAAAAAAAAGTAATTAAAAAATGTACTAGGATATATAGGTTTGTGTATGATATATATATATATATATATATATATATATATGAATTCACATGGGAGGCAGTATGGGCATGATACATTCCGCTAATGATAAGTGTTGAAATGGGGTGAATGTTTTATGGAACATGCTCATATTCCCATGTGCTGCTAACGTGCTTTTGTTAATTCAAAACGGCGCTTGGGTCTCTATCAAGAATTGGACCATGAAATGTCACTGTACATAATAACCAATTCCAATTTGATTTCTTAAGTTCACAACACATACATTAATTGTCTGAAAATGCCCCCATATCCTGCTCTCATGTACCAAACCTAAGGGCAATGAATCCAATGTAAGAGAGTCATGCATGCCAACAACGTAGACAGAGAAAAAAACAGTGTGTTTTGTACATTTTTCAGACACAGTTCGTTCCATTCTCCAAACAGCAAACTGACAGTTTCGGCTAACAATATACTGAAATAGTTGAACTTAGTTTGGTAGCTAGTTTTACATATCCCAATTTATCAAGGCAAATAATTCATATCTATGGTGGTAGTTTTTTTTTTTTTTTTTTTTTTTTTTCGATTAGGTGACACCTGCATGGTATAACCTTTTGCAATTGTGATTTATAACAAAATGTATACTTTTACAAATGTTATTTACGAAGAATCTAAACAAAATGTAACAGAACAGTTTGTGGTGAAATGATTAACCAATAACATATAATAACAAAGTAACAACTAAATTTATTTAAATCTATCAAAAAATTATATATGTATACTTAATTTATTCCCTTTTGTTTCATTTTCCTTTAAAAATCGTGGTTGTTACCACCTGTTGGTTCCCATTCTAGAAAGAACGTATACTCCTAATTAATTAATTTTATTTTTTATTTTTTATTTATGTCAACTATTCTAAATTTTACTTCCTATTCTCTTCAGAATTTAAATATTCAAGATTAGGAATAATAATAAAATGAAGTTGGACAATAAGCTCCAAACTTGGCAACGGCCAATGCACATGTCTGTCGCTTGCAGCAGCACTTTTCCTTTGAAGATAGAATAGAGTAGAATAGAATCAGTTGGTTTTCATTGCTAGTTTAGAGAGACCAACAACTTTCTAGTTGGTATGTTCATTTAAAACAAAACCCTAGACAATTTTTAATTGTTCCATCTTTTTGACTTAATTTGAGTAATGGGTCCCAATCACCGAAATTTAAGCTATGACTACATTAATTAAACTCTTTTGTAAAACATGTTAAGGATGATTTAAAAAAAAAAAAAAAACCCCCTAATTAGGTTAGATTCTGGTCAATTAAGTTCATCAAAAGCCAGTTCCATACTTGTTAAGTGATGATAATGCTTGCGAGAAAGAAAGCATAGAAAGGATGCCACTCTGTTATAAGAGTTTTGACCTCTTCCTCAAAATTATGAAATTAAAACACACACACATATAATTGGAATTTTGAAAATCATTTCCTTGTTAACATCACGTAAGAGTAAATTGAGTAATTACATATGTGATTATAAGTGTTACAGTCAAGGCACGTGGCTCCGTCCTCTTACTAGTTGGATTTATATCTTAGGTGAACGTAGTCTATGGACCCCTACAAGCTTGCCCCGAGATGTTAGTGGGAACGTCGAGATACTATGCGAACGTTGTCCTCGAGCCATGCAGTAGCACCCGGGCTTGACTTGCATGAATCTCGAGCAAGGGTGAAAACTGCTGGGGCAAGTGCTAAGGTGCGCCATCGTGAGATACATCCTTCCCATTTATTCACCCTTGCTAGGGCAATTGTTAGAGTGTGCGGGCACAGACCCAATGTGGGACCAGTTGGGGGCAGATGCCCCCAACTGGATTTTTTATATTTTCATTTTATATCTTAATTTTTTAGAATTTATGAAAATGTCCCCACTAAAATTACAATTTGCCCTAATTGATATATATATATTTTTTTTGCATTTTATACTTTAAACTTTTAATAATTTATGAAAATTCCCCCCACTAAAATTACAATTTAGATCCACTATTTTATTTATTTATTTATTTTTTTGCATTTTATACTTTATATTTTTTAAAATTTATGAAAAAATCTAATTAAAATTATAAAAATGGACTCACTATATAAGTTTGCCCCCACAAATTAAAAGCCCATCCCCCTCACAAAATTTTTTGGGTCCATCACTGATGGTGTGCCATGTGGAATCGTGGGATACATCCCCTAGGCATGGTATAAGAGTAATTGCACCAGATAAATTGTTATAAATCTACTGCATATTATATATGATTAATGATTATTAAACCAAAGCCAACACATAAAATATATGTATATGTGTGCATTTATCACTACATTAACATGATAGGACTATACGAGGTATATTTACTTATGAGAAATTATACAGCTTTGTACTTTTTCCTTTTCCAATATATATTTCCAAAAACATATTACTCCCATGTACTCATAAATTGAAAGAGTAGAGAGATTTATAAGAATAAATATTTAAGTATGTTCCGTGTATCGTATACCTGATTAATCAGAATCGTTCTTGGTGTATATGTATGCGCAAATACTATGCATGTACATTCTAATTAGCCTAATGTATGGTGTGTCATGCTCTCGGAATACCTACAAACTTATAGTTAATTACGCAAAAGCAGGAGTACTCCTCATAAACTCACCTGACACCCTCGCACCAAAAAAGCACCGCGCAGCTGGTTTCTTCCGAGCCGCCATTGTCTTCCCACCAAGCTGGGCCCACACACATGAGCCGTTAAGCGTAACCGCACTTCTCCCAATTTACAATTCCACCCTTCTCCCACCCCTTTATAAACGAACCTTCCTTCAGCTTTCTCAGCCCCCGATAAACCCCATTCCCTTTCTCTCTCCTGCTCTCTGTTTCTTTCTCTATCTCTCCCAACTCTCTCTGTGATGGCCAAAGGAGGAAGCAAACTGACCAAATTGAAGTCAGTGTTAAAGAAATGGAACTCGTTCGGCAGACACGGCCGAGTCAATGGCAGTTCAATCGCCGCCGCCAATAACTCTTCCGACGACGACATTTCCCGGGACCTCCACCCCGTGTACGTCGGAAAGTCGCGCCGCCGCTACCTGATCAGCTCCGACGTCATCGACCACCCCCTCTTCAGAGAGCTCGTGGAGAAGTCCGGCGACTCCGAGTCCATCACCGTCGGCTGCGAGGTGGTACTGTTCGAGCACTTGCTGTGGATGCTCGAAAATGCTGATCCTCAGCCCGAGTCGTTGGAAGAACTCGTCGAGTTCTACGCTTGCTGAAAGAAGCTAGCTAATTTACTGTTATTACTACGCTGTAACTGAAAAAGTAACTGCTTGGAGGGTGGTTATTTTGTTACTCAATTCATGATATGGTATATAGTTGTAAATTCGATCTCTAAGGTTGATGCTGATGATTAGCGGTGTTGAAAAATAAAAAATTATTGAAAAGGGAAAAATAAAAAAGATAGAGAGAAAGAGAGTTAAGTGATGAGTTTGATTGAACGGTGAGGATTGAGCTATTTTACATCGGCTAATCTTGTACGGCCTGATGAGGATTATGATCGGTAATGTATTGTTGTTGTTCATTCTTTTATATATATATAAAAAATGTTCATTCCCATTATTCATAAATGTTTTTAATATCCAGCATTACTTATGTTCTTTTCGATCTTCTTCATGTTTGTTTTTTTTCTGAAATAAAATGTGATTTTCAATCAAGACTATCTCATTCAAATTTATAAAAAAATCACACTTAATTGAATAATATATAAGATATGTTGGTACATATGTATAGATTTATGTGAGGGTGCTATATATATGTGTGTGTGTGTGTATTATAGTACAACCTAGTATTTGTACTAATGTATTATTCTGTAGGCCAGTACATGTTTTATCGTGCCATTCCATCCACAGAATACCTGTGTAAGGGGTCTCGATCATAAGAATATTGAAATAGAAGATACAAGTGATAAAAGAATGTCATCAACAATGGACTTCAAGTCCATTCTCATAAATTTTGTTTTTTGTTATTTATTGAAAAAACTTACTTCTATTTTTTTTATAAAATTTTATATTTTATTTTTTATAAAATTGTTCAAGTAAATATTGTTTCAACTGTGAAAATGTAAAGAAGAGGTGAACAAAAAAGTGAGCAGGTGTGAAATAATAAAATATGGTATTTCACGACTTAAATGTTGTATAAATTCAACGTAATATTAGCATTATTAATTTTCTACTCGACATAATGTCTCTACAATGTATACTCAAAATTACCTCTTCTCGTACGTGGACTTGACCAAAATTAAGATTTGGCAGAACCATATACTGATAACAGAGACTACAGAGTGTATCACCCCTGCTCAAAACAAATGGGCATATATATATATATAAATGTATACTCCTCTTGCACTATGTAGCTGACTACGTATTGCAAATCTTTTTGGAAATTAAGTTACAATAGAGAAGGATATTTTTTATTCTCAAAATGTTAAAATTGAATATAGGCTCATGAAGTGACTAATTTTAAAATTATCCTTCACTAAAATCTTATCCTAACATAGTAACGTGTCAAATACTGAATACTCTGAAAATCTATGACAATGACCGACACGAAATGCATATATCATAAACAAAACTTTCTCTCTTATGATATGTGCATTTCGTGCGTCATGAAACTGATTTATGATGCATTCAGTAATCCATTTGTCTTCAAATGAAGATAAAATCTTAATATGAAAATTTTACTGTTATTAAAATGAAAACAGTATACAGATGCAACTTCAATGATTGATGATGATATCATAATATATTTCTCCCAAATCAATATTTAAAATTGTTTTCCATCATGTAATTGAACACAGTTAGGTTGCTGTCTATGAACATCATGATTGTCCAATTGAATACAAAACATTTAGTAAAACCATACATGCTTCATTATCTGTTTTAGACGCCATTTGTTGAATTATTATTTCTTGGTGGAAATACTTGATTTGGCTTGCTACTTATATTTTAACAACAAACTTTTCACTACCTCCAAAGCCATAATAAAATAATATTACAGTTAATTATATACAACGGTAAAAAAAATATATATTTTATTTTCACCAAACATCATTAGGATTTTTGTTTTTAAAAACTCCGAGTTAGGTTCAAATCTAGTTGACTTGAGAACTTAGCTGTGGCTCATCCCAAATCTGCCCCACTGCCAGCAAAATTCGTAATTGTCGCTCAAATTGGGTACTACTTTTCATTGTAAAAAAAAATAAAAAATTTGTAGCTGCAAACAATTTTCATATAGTAAGACAGCAAGTCAAAACAACTTTGTAGGAGGCACCATACTCTTTCAATTAAAATTGATTATTAAGATTCTTTATTATATATATATATATATATATATATATATAAAATAGTATTGTTGAAGTAAAGTAAAGAAAAGTGTATAGTTTACCATACAAATGATTGGGTTGTTAGAGATGCTTTGTTGAGATATACCACACACGCTCTGTTGGTTGCTTTTTAATGGTTGGATATGAAACCTTTTGTATTACACTTTTTATAAAGATTATACTAATTTAATGCATAGTGGAAGCCACAAATTTTGGGTCACTTCACGCAATTTAGCACCTGATTACCTGTAACGCGTTTCCAAGCTGCCAATACCAACCATAAAGTTATGCATTCCACACCAGACGGATCCCCCCGTTACCCAATCCCGTTTCAAATCAGATTTTCATATACAGTCGAGTCATTACAAACTTGTCAGTAAGAGAAGTTTTATTATTTAAAAATTTAAAAGTCAATTTAGTTTGTTACTTAAAAAACTTTTCAAAAATTTAAAAAATATAAAACTGTTTTCAGATAGTTCTCAAAAGCCGACTATTTTTTTTCTTTTTTAAGTTTTTATAAAAATAATTTTTAAAAATTGTCAACAAATTAAATTTTTTTATTTTTTAGTTCTTAAAAAAACTGAACTAAGCCAACCTAAGTACATCACCATCGTGAAATGTTTTCAGAAATATTTGATACGAACGAATAAAAAAAAAAGTGAAAAAGTATTCATGTTCAAAAAAAAAAATCATAAAAAAAGGTCAGGGCATTTTGAGTTTTAAAAAAATAGAAAAAAGAAAGGCAACACATAAAACAAGTTTGAGGATCATTTCTAAAAGCTACTAGATCTTAATAAGTTTCTTGAAAGTACAGAATAGTTTTTTGGAAAAAATACTATCTAGAGAATATTTTTCGCATTGTCAGACTCTAAAAGTTCACGATCTTAGTCATATGAGTATGACTTTTCACGAGAGCCAGCCTTGATTGAATGGAAAAATTGATTCATTGAAAAATGTTCTCTTCGTATGTACAAATAATACCGCGCAGATTTGATCAGTGTATAATAATTAGGGATGCAGACAGAGGGGTTGGAGCTGGATTTGAATAGGGTCGAATATGAATTATGACTCATATTCAATTTGCTTGTATCGGTTTAAATATGAGTTGCGTGAAAATGAATCAGATCAATCTGTCATGACCCACCAAACCATTTTAAGAAGAAAAAAAATATTATTATTTTGAATAATCTCATTATTATTATATAAATATTAATTAACATAAACAAAAATATCAAAACCAAGAACTTTGAGAGAGAGAACAAAATGTAGAGAGAGAAAGCTTTCTTTATTTCTTTTTATTTTTTCTATACATCTCGGATACACACCAATACACACACATGTATATATATATCCATAAGCCAAACTTACAAAATAAGCTAAGGAAACAACCTGCTTGTATGTATTCAATGTGTTCACACCTACAACATTATATATATACAATGAATCTATACACATAATTCAAACATATCAAATTCTCTCAATAGTGGGCCACACTACTAATTATATTTCTTCCAAATTTTCATAAATAGTGAACCCCACGCCCCACACACACACACACACACACACACATATATATATATATATCAATTATTATAATTTTTTATTTTAGATAGATAAAAGCTTGTAAAAATATGTATGAATGATTGTAAATTCTTTATTTTATTTTGAAAATTCTTTAAATTAATATTATTTTATTTTGTGACTAAACATGCATGAAGGTAAGATATTATATATATTATATGAAATCATCTGTTAAGTTTTTTATAGAATAAATAATTAAATGAATAAATCAGGTCGTTTTGCTTTGAAATACATATGTAAACATAGATTTCTTTCGAGTCATGTATTACATGCACGAGGAGTCCATGATGCAGAGAGAATTTTAGGAAGAGATAGTGGAATAGAGAATTTCAAAAAGAAAGAAATAAATTTGAGTCAAATAGAAGTTGAGAAACTGGGTTTCTTATATAATGGGTGATATATGGATTAAAATGGATAAATATGAGTTACTCATTTTGGCTCATATTTTAAAATAATTCACCAATATTAATTTTAAAACGGATAAATATGAATGAATTGATGGGTCAAAGACCCATTTTGTCACCCCTAATAATAATAAGAGCCTGTTGTACATTTGTACTCCGCTGCCTGCTATATTCCTTTTCATGCTGCTTCTTGTGTTTGATGATGCCTTTGTCTGTTTTTTTTCGGTTTTTTTCTTGAGTTGATGGCTTTGATTTTCTTTTATCATAGAGAATAACCAGATTTTTTTTTGATTAAGTCCTAGAGAATAACCCTTGTAAACTTATACTCCAATTGGTTCCTTTTAATTAAGTCTCAACTTACCTACCAAGCAGATAACAATAATAAAAAATATTACAGCAAACGAGAATGTATATTGGATTTAATTGAAGTTTTTAAAAAACTTAAAAAGAGTAACTAAGGTGAGGTACGTTGTTTGGTGCGAAATGCAAGTATCGATATAGACAAAATATGCATAAGAAGACGACCCGTGTTTTGAGGCTTTTATGACGGAAAATAACCCAATCATGTTCGCTTTATATCAATTTTCATTATCTATATATATATATATGGTTACTCTGTATCGCAACTGTATATACTTATGGGGTTTATGTCATGTTGCAAGGGTAGTGCTACTAACAAGTGGAAGTCAGTTAGATGGCCAGAGAGACCAGCCCACGTGGTAGTGGGCCGTGAAATCCCAATGTACCTTTTCAGGGCCCATCTCACGAGTAATGTTGCTCCTTTCATTTTTGTCTGCAAATTCATGAATACCAACTTTGAATTTTCATGTCATTCCAATGTGTGAGTGTGAGAGAGAGAAAAAAATAGAGAGAGAAGCAAGAGAGAGAGAGATGGGGGACAACCAAGTCCGTGTGCAGCTGTCTTTAGTATTCAGACATCTAAATTGTATCTTCGTTTCAAGTCCCATGGTTTTAGTGAATCAAATAAATTTAGATATCAATGTGCATACAAAATGTATGTATTAATTAAATTTAAATGAGAATAAATTTCGAATTCTGGTCATATATGAAGAATTTTGCACATTATATTTGGATGAGTTTTTCGATAAAATAAAATAAACCATTTAACAAGGACAAAATTGATATTTGAAAAATAGTTGAATATGAAAAAGAAAAAGAAAAGACTAGCAAATTCGGCCCACAGTATATTTGGGAGAGCAGGTGTGGGCCAATAGACAGATATGACAGTCTAG